TGTTTTGGGTTGTGTTCGATTTATGCTCAAAAGAATTGCCCCCAGTAGAGAGATAAATTAGACAAATTTGGGGGAGAGATAGATTTGATGAACCAAGATAAAGATATTCTGTATAACTATGAACGGCATGTAAGACATAATTTAAGACCTGCATTTAGTGTAGGACATTATCAGAGAAACATTTCAAATATTAAGATTTCAAGAAGATTAAGAAGAAGAAAAAAGAGTAAAGATGATGATCCTTTATAGTTTTTATAATCTAATGAAGCATTGGAGTCACCTTCTTTCTTAATGTCAGTGCAGTTTTCTGACTGGTGGCTTTTCCCTAGCCTGTATTTCTGCACAAGAAAACAAAACAGTTTTACAGTTATGCTTTTCCATAATAGTCTGAAAAAAGACTGGATGTGATTAACCAAGAAAAGGGAGAAAAATGCCTGTGAGTGGCTCTTTAGGTGGTACAGAGTGAGTACATGAATTCCCGTCACCCTCATCAAACTCTTTAGTGTGACCTCTGCCCATATGTGAAACAAAGACATTAGAACTTTGTATAGAAATAGAAAGAAACTAAAAAGGGATTTGAAGAAGAATATCAATCAAGCTTATATACTCAACTGTCTGCCCCACCAAGCTGATTGACTGCTTCAACAAATCTTTGATGAAGTTCTGCAGTCCATTTTAGCCCGGGCTTTGCATCAGTGGACAAAACCAAATTCATATTCTGATTTTGCATATTCTGCAGCAGACCCATTTTTGTATTGTGGATGAGAGAGAAAAGAAGGTAACATAAATGTTGGTTAGGAGCCTTAAAAGCTTTGATCCAATTTGTGGCGTTTGGAGTAGTTGGCCTGTCCTGTGTTCTCACTCCATATCTGGAAACATAAGTGGGGTTATGTTGGCGGAATATATGCCATGAGCTGTAGTTCCTCCTTTCCTTCCATCTCTCATTTCATACCAGCTTTAAAAATAATAATAATAATAATAATAATAATAATAATAATAATAATAATAATAATTTATTCTCTCACTTTGACTTGAAAGAGGTGGAGAGAAAGCAAAAACACACAGTTCAATTTGAGTCTTAAAAGGAGAGAAGAGGAAAAGTGTATGGTTTGTTTTATCTTGCTGTTTTCCCACTCTCTCTCTCTCTCTCTCTCTCTCTCTCTCTCTCTCTCTCTCTGTCCAGAAATCCAAATTCAAAAGGGCACTCTGGGATTTTGTTGCTTGCAGAGTTTATTTTCTATGTTTTTCGTTTTGATTCATTGCAACTGAGGTATTCTAGCTATCTCAGCCTTTGATTGTTGCCTTTGATTGAACTGGTTGATGATTTTACTCTAGATTTGGATTGTTTGGAGTCTTTTTGTCATATTTTATTTTAAATTTAAAACTTTTGTTCTCCAAGCAAGGAATTGATTTTTAATACATGAGGTTGATAAACAAAACCTAAGGGTACATCTTCTCTCTCTCTCTCTCTCTCTCTCTCTCTCTCTCTCTCTGTAAAAGACTTATTTACAGTCTTTTCTCTCTCTCTAACCCAAAAGAGTACAGCGGCAGCACCAACTTCTGATTCTGTACTCTAATTTCTAATTATTAAGTTCTGTGTGTATGGAGTATAGATTGAAAAATTAAAAATTGAATGTAGAAGTGGATTTGATTCTCTTTCTCCAACCTTTAACATAGTTTAATGCACACTTTTAAATGTGTATTTGTGGGATTTTAATTTCAACTCATACTAGAGGACAAGAACCTTTAATGTTTGCTTTTGATGTTTTGTAGGTGGTGTTCTGCTGCTTTAGATAGAGCTGTTTGGTGGTTGTTTTTTGTTCTGTTAATTAAGAGGTGTGTTTCTATGTTGAAATTCCCATGTATTGTTTCGGTTTTGCATTTCATATTTGATTTTGAAGTCTATTGGTGTGTCAAAATAGCTAGGTTTAATGTATGCTAGGAATGTCTCATCGGTTAAGTATCAATAAAAATTTTGTTTTTGTTCTCAGTTACTGTTTATACCATGCTTGAATCCGAAGTATAAGATGTGATGATAATTGAAATGCCTAGAGACCAATCTTGCTTCTGATATTTTATTTTCAACTGATTTGCTTAGAAAAAATAGAGAACAAGTTTTATTTTTTGCAATCTCTGTTGATAAATGAGTAATTGTTGATGACCCTTCTTTTCTTTTTCTTTCTTTTGGCCTTTTTGGGTTGTTTCTGTGTTTTGTCTGTTTGGGACAGTGTCTTACTGCCAGACAAGAAGTCTTATAGAGGATGGAGTAGCATGTGCTAGCTCACAGCTTATATATATGCCCCATTATGTCAGAATTCAGTCATTTGTTTGCTTTGCATTATTTCTCTTTATTTTACTTCAGAATATTGGATTGTAAATGTGTTCCTGTTGTTATCTATATAGTAGCTCCTTTTTTTCTTCATTTCCTTTTGAAAATCATTGTTTATCGTAAATCATGTGCTTTTAGACCATTACCACAAACAGAATCTGTGTGTTTTTATTTTTCGCTCTTTTGATTGTTGCTTTATTTCATTTTTCGGTTTTTGCGTTTTTCTATAGGTGCTGTGTAACTGCTTTTTGGACTGCTTGATAGCTCTTCTCATTGTTGCTAGGCAACAGGTCAGTTTTCTATTCATCTGTTGAAGAGGTCATGCATATCAACTGTGGAAAATTGGTTTTTGGATATTGTGTCATTTGAAAATTGTTAATTTTGTGGTTGTGATATTTTGCTTATATCTGGGTTAAACTTAATATTGTTGATTGATTTGTTTGGAATAGGTATTTCATGAGGAAGCTGAAGAAGGTCAAGAAGAGCAATGGTCAAGTGCTTTCCATTAATGAGGTTTGTTCTCTTTGCCGTTTATACTTTATTTTTTTCTAATTAATAAATTTGTACCCATTTTGATTATTTGTCAGTGTCTAATGTAGTCAATGTTTTTTTGCGGTGGAGAAGTGGTTCCTTCTCAACTCTCCTCCTGGTGAAATCCAATTTGTTGCCAATGGTCTCCACCTTTGACCCCAAAGCGTCACTCTTTTATCACATTTATTTCGCTTTTTTCTAATTTTGTTTCGATCAGTTGAATCGTAATTTGTATTTGATGTTTGCCTTTGGTGGCAGATGTGAAGGAGGCTGCGTCAGAGGCATCCTCTCGAATATTATGAAAACCTATCAGCATATCCACACCTTCTTTTACACCTTATTTCTCTGCACATTCCTCTCAAAAACTTAAATGCTTTATGCTCCACCATAGCCTTTGGTAGTTTTCTCTTCTTTCACTTGGTTCCATTTTAAGTTTTAACTTTTTTAAAAAATCTTTATTCTAAATTTGTTACTTTAAATCCTTAATTTTAGGATTAGTTATGGTTTATTTTTATATCTTATAATGAATTGAGATGTGGACAATCTCCCTTTTTGTCCCTTCCCCTTCGACTCTCTTTTTGTCTTCATTGTTCTCATTGTTTCATCGTTTCATTGTTCTCATCTTTTCTTGCGTTCTAATCTCATCCTTCTTGAAAATTGCAACTTCCCCTTGGACTCTCTTTGGTCTTCATCGTTTTCATCGTCTCATCGTTCTCATCTCATCCTTCTTGAAAATTTCCTATTGAGAAGTAAAAATCGAAGCCAAGCAAGTAAAAATCGATAAGAGGGGTAAGCTTGCCTATGGAGAAAAAATGTTGGTTTAAAGGTTCTTTTGGTTTTCTAGGTTGGTTTATTCATTTGTCATGTTGAAAATTGAGAAGTAAATCAGAAATTGACTTTGGTTTGTTGTTATAGGGAGGAAGATCGAAAGAAAAAGAACTGGAGAAATCAATACAGGAACCCCCAGTCTGATGTCAATGGTATGAATCTCTCTCTCATTTTGGTTTTGTTTTTAGTTCACCAAATGGTTTTCATCTATTCTGATTTTTTTATATGAGATGTGCAGTTGTTGCGGCTCTTAATTCTTCAATTTTCTCCATCTTACTTGCTAAAGTTGAAAGTTCACATTAGTTTGGTTGTTTTTGGGTCTTCCTGCTAACTACTTAGAACATGCATTTTAAGTTCAATTTTTGTTGGCCTGGCATTTCCCTTTTTTAAGAATCTATTTCATTTGTTTTAACTTTTCCCTTTATCCATTTTTTTCCCCCTAATAATTGAACATATTTTTCATCTCTGGGTAGCATTCCTTTTTCTACTTTGTTGGTTAAGCCAACCCCATTGTAGTGAGTAGAAGGAGATTTACAGTTTCATATTTCAACAGTTTCATAAAGAAAGCATTTAGGTAACGTACAGACTATTATCCCTCTGTTGATTTCGTGGTCTGTTGTTGTTTTGTGTTTATCTAATTTTATTTTTTTTTTTTTTTTTTCTTTTGATATTTTGCAGGTGGTCTTTCGTTGCTTTGGATGAAGCGGTTTGGTTGGTGTTTTCAGTTCTATTAAGTAAGGGGGTGAGTTTCTAGGCTGAAATTTCAATTAATTGTTTTAAGTTTTGTGAATAGAGCATAGGAATTAGCTAATGGCATCAATTGACAATTGGTTGGAGTTAATTTGTTGTTGTAATTATAGGTTTAATGATTACAATATTTGAACATGTTGGTAAACCCCTTGAGTATTTTGGCAATTGGGTAGTTGAGATGTTCCCTGCCTATTTTCATTGCTTTATACACATTTCACGCAATTTTAAAACCCGCAGCATCGCGCGGGCACTTTTGCTAGTGCAAACTGAAGCCATTCCCGACTTGAAGCAGAAATCCAATTGATGCAAAATTTAGAGCTGTTTACTTTTGACAATTTAATACTTGAATTCAATGAAGAAAATTACATGGCTTACATGGGGCGTGACCGTGAGAAACTAAACTCAAAAGCATCCTCAGCCAAAAAGCTTGGCGATGGAGAGGACGAAGGGTTATAGCAAGGAAGACATCCCTAAGCCTAACAAACTCAAAAGCATCCTCAGCCACAAGTTTGCAATCAGCTCAAATAAAATGAAATTTTGAATTTGAGGATATCGGCTTGGCCTACAAAGCCTTCTGCTTTATCATCTCAACATCTTTGCCATACAACAGACATATCCCACACTTTTCTATCAGAAGGGGTCCGGAATACTCATCAGTTACGATGAAGTCAACAGTGACCTCAGTAACAAGTTTGTAAAATGCAGTGGGGCTTTGAGCTCCCTGTACAACTTCTTCAAAGACATTATTATACCACCACACCCACACCTCATGTGGATCTCTGTTTGGTGAGTGTAATTCACGTTGCGCATGATGAAAAAGATGGTCGACTTCATGGCTTTCACCATTACTAGTTTTGAAGTTGTACTTGCATCCACTACTCAAATACCATGTATTATAATAACCTTCTTGGCATGAAACAACCAGAGATAGAGCGAAACCTAAGAAATCTGTGCTAAACCAATCACGAGGAAGCTCAATCTTTATTGAACATCCCTCACTTTTATGGCTGAACCATTTTGGAATTTCACTCCCACAACATCTAATGCGAACGTTAGATTCCTGTACCATGGATATGGACATCATAGTTATTAAACTTGTGAAACAAAAACAACTTCTTCAACAGAAGAGAGAGAGAGAGAGAGAGAGATCATCTGAATTAAATGATGCTTTTTCATTTTGTCTTCTTTAAACTTTGACCACGCAGTTGCCATCCGCATAATTCTGAGCTGTGCATCACCCATTATGTTGTTTCGTGCATTCTCATCCAACCTTATGCAATCAAAATATATATATATCTCTTTATGCCCTCGAGAAAATTTATATTTTCCCCAACCTTGTGCGAGTGCAGTGGTTGAACTTGACACTGTCTTCAGTGACGTGCAACCTTCTGCTTGAAGACATTGAAGCAATGGGGGGAGCTCTGGTAAAGATTCAAGGCTCTTACAATGGTTGAGGAGCAGGACAGAAAGCTGAGCAGCTTGTTTGATGCTTGCAGGTAAGCTCTTAATTTCGGTCCCATTCAAATCTAACACTTGTAATGAGGTTAAGCAAAAGAGCTCATCGGGAACAACCTCAAGGTTCTTGCAGTCGTGGAGATCTAATTCTTGAAGCGCAACTAGATTTCTAATTGATGGGGGTATCTCTTTAACCGCGGTGCCTGATAAATTTAGAAACTCTAGATATTCCATAACCTCCGAGATTTCTGGAAAGTTTTGAAAGTTAGAACAATTCCCGAGATCAAGGCTCTTCAGAGATTTCAACTTCCAAATGTTCGTCGGGAGACTCACAAAACTTTCGCAATAATGCAGTTTAATTGCAGTGAGACCAACGACAGACTCTATTGATGCATTCCTCAATTCTTTTATTGTTGAACTACTCAACGCTAGCTCTGTTGTATCCCTGGGAAGCTCCCAAAACTCACAAAGAGATTCGCAGCCTTCTAGACTAAGAGAGAGTTTCAGCTTACAAGTGTTGCTTGGAAGACTCTTAAGGTGTCCACAATATCTAATATCTAAGTGAGATATTTTTTCGTGAGACCAAACTGATGAAGGCAATTCCTCTATTGCTGTAGAAGACAAATTTAAGAATTCAAGATTGCATGGCATCTCAGGAAGATTTTTGAAATTTGTGCACTGCCCAAGGTCAAGATAAGTAAGCTTGCCAAGATGTTGAAAATATGAAGGAATTTCAACCAAACTTCCACACCTTTTCAGATCTATATGTTTAATTTGTAGACTCCGAGAGAGATCTGGGACTTTAGTTAGATACATGCAGCCTTCAAGATTGATCCATTTCAAGTTCACAGGAGGACTCTGTAACAAATTAAACAAGAATTAATTACTTAGCTTGCAGATTATTACTTTCTAGGCCAAATGTTACAAGAACTCAAATAAGCATATATAATGTACCTGGTCTTCATTCCAAAGTGGCCCCACAACTTCGCTGGACGGCATTTCAAGGACAACAAGATTTTGAGCAGAAAATTTTGATGGCAAAGATTTCAAAGGATATTGGCACCAGCGAAGATATTTAAGAGAATTGGGAAGACCAGGAGAACGAATTAATGCAGGTAAACCATGATATAAGGGCCCACGATTATCGACACAATTATCGACACATAGCCATCTCAGTTGTTGATGCATCTTTTCGAAATTTGCATATTCCATCTCACACCAGTAAAGCCAGTGAATGGATATGGCTTGAACATGTCCATAGCTCTGACAATCAAGAGCAAAAATATAAATGTAAAATATCATATACAAAAAAAGTTTAATCAAAATTACATTTGTAGGAATAATCTGACTTGTTTATTGTAAATGTGAATAATTAAACTACCTGGTTATTTGTCAATACTTGATGGACATCATTTAAAATGAACAACCTGTTGCCTCGTTCTCGAGCAATTGCACAACCCATTTCTTGCACCAAATCATGCATCTCTATCCGTGCTTCTAACTGCTCATCTACCGATGTGTTGGAATATGAAATTGATATGAGAGACCTATCAATAAGATCATTGATTCCTGCTTCCCCGTGGAAATCACAACTATCTAAACATTCTTTTACATAATTCCTCTCAAAGCCTTTATAAAAACATGCTATTTCAAGAAATATCTCCGTCTCATGTTGTCCTAATCCATCGTAACTTATTCTCAACACTCGATCGATTTCTTTGTTTGGATATTCTCTCACTTTTTTCCATTCATCTTCCCACTGTTGTTTGCTCTTGCAACGACGGAATGAGGACCCTATAACTTTAAGAGCTAATGGAATGCCCTTATATAATCCACCACCTGTCTTGACAACTCAGTGTATTCTGTTGTTGTAGACTTATTATTTCCGAAAGCATGCGAATAAAAGAGCCGAAGAGCGTCATCAGAACCTAATCCCTCAACGTTGAATATGTTCGCAGGGTCAACTTTTTGCTCAAGTAGGCCTTTATCTCTAGCAGTTATAATGATTCGACTTCCTTGGCAAAACCGATCATCATCACCAACAAGAACTTCTAGTTGTTTTTCAGCATTCACATCATCAAGAACAATGAGCGCCTTTGTACGCCTGAGCCTGTCTTGAATATGAGGTGGTATAGACGGAGTGTCGATATTTACATCTTTTTGCTTTAATATCTCACCAACAAGTTTATTACGCAAGTCATTTAGTCCATCCGTTTTTTCTGATTTCTCCCTGACATTTGCGAGAAAACAACAAGCATCAAATTTACAGGAATGCCTGTAAAATACAGCATCAGCAAGGGTGGTCTTGCCAATACCACCCATGCCCCAAATACCTACACAGCAAACACCTGGTAAATCAAAGCATAATAACGACTCAATTTCCTCAATTTTCTTTTCAATTCCAAGCAGACCCTTTAAATCACTTGACGATTCGCGATTCAATTTGGTCAAAACATCTTGAGCAACTTCCTCAACGAAATCGGCCTCCGTCCTGGCAAATATCATTATTAAAGACAATAGTAAGTATGAATCAAATGGTTACAAGTAGAAATTGACACAAGCTAGAGATTTAGTATACCCTGTTTTACTTGAATCATGAAACCCTGACATATTGGCTGCTTCCTCCAAAGCTACCTTCCACTTGAGAACCGAATCATCCATACTGTCCTTGAAACGTTCTTCAAGTTTAGCAAATGCAAGTGCATAAGTTCCCTCCTGATTTCGTACGACTCTTGGATCTATGCGATAAAAAAGGGTATAACAATTTGTTTATTTCTTTTCTTGCATCCTAGTATATGCACAAGTTCTTTCAAACACCATGTGGAAGAAGCATAGTCTTTTGAGAAAATGACTAGTGCAATTTTAGATTTCTCGATTGCTGCTAGAAGGGCAGGTCCAATGTCGTCTCCTTTCTCAAGTCTGTAATCTATGTAAGTCTCAATGTTCTTCCGACGTAAAGCCGCGTGAAGATGGCTGGTAAAAGTATCGCGTGTGTCTTCACCTCTGAAACTAAGAAACACATCGTACTTTTCTCGAAGAGGAGCAGGAAAAGGAAGAGAAGAAGAAGAAGAAGAATCCATATCCCTATCCAAAACCTGCAAACTTACAAGTCAAAACATGAATGCATATACATGTCTGGGCTAGCTCCTCCAAATAGGATGTACATATGAGAAAGAGAAATGATAGAAAAAAGCTCCAAATAGGATGTATTGATTTGTTGTTTAGAAAGAGAGATAGAAAGCAGTTGGTTGCAGAGACTAATTAAGCTGACTTGACATGACACGAAAGAAAGTAGATCCAGGAGAGATAGAAAAACGAGAAGTGAAATAATTAGCCAAGCAGTGTCGCTGGACAAAAATTCAAAGCATTATTCACACGAAAGAAAAGGGCACATGGGAGTGGCAGCACAATGGCCCTGCTCTTTGCACGCTTTACAAAATTCTGTGGACAGACACGCGCCTTAATTGGCTCCGCCAATGATTCAATCTATACTTTAGATGAATTTTAATGACTTAATGAAATTAAAAAGTCAAGGTATCTAATTTAGATTTTTAAAAGCATTTGTAATGGGCTTTTTAAATTATATTTTTAGACAAATTTTATGAATAAATTAGAAAAATACAACTATAACAATTCACCTCCTACAATAAAAAGACTTCTAAGAGCTCCTAAATCTGAAGAGAGAAAACAAACTCTTAGTGACTCCTTATAATTTAATACTACTTTGTTTTATGCATATTTTGAAATTTTAATTAATTTTAAATTTTAAATAATTAATTTATACAAATAAACTAATATAATTATAGTAAATTGAGCTTAGACCCATAAAATTCATTTTAAATCACCTACAACCATTTCCTTTAGTTTTCTATGTAAAATACCCAATTTTTTCAAATAATACCCAATAACTAGAATCCAACTAAGTAAGTTACCTAATATAACTTAAAATATGATTTATTGTATTTTTCGGATTCAAAACTACATTTATTTATAAGTTAATGTGTTATGGGTGGTGTAACTAATGACACCCGTTGAACTTGGAAATATCTCCAAATAGTTGTAATGGATGTAGGAACTAATTTAGAAACTTATTTGAAATTAAATATTAAATTCCACATTAGTAATCTATTTTATGACTAGTAATCTATTTTTGAATTAATGGTGTTTTCCTTCTATGAATTACGACCAGTAATCTATTTAAAATATTAGTAATTTAAATTCAATATTAAATTTAGGAATTAATGTTGTTTTCTTTTTATGAATTATACGACCAGTATTCTTTTTAATTATAGTTTTATGAATAATAGTGTACATTCTAATTATGTTGAAAAATAATTTGATAATCTATTTATTGTTTTGTTTTTAAAACATTTTGTTAATGAACCTATTTTTTCTCCAAATATGTACCTATTTTTTTTTCTTTATTACTTGTTTTATAAAAATAATTTGATCATCTTTTTATTGTTTGTTTTATGAAAACAATTTTTTTTTAAATGAGCCTATTTTTTCTCTCAAAATAATGTACCTATTTTTTCCCCTAAACAATTTACCTGGTATAATGAACCTATTTTTTCTCTCTAAATATGCACCTTTTTTTTTCTCTAATAATGTATACCTAGTAAAACAATTTACCTAGTATAATGACTTATTTTTTTTTTTTTTTTTTTTAATGTACCTATTTTTAATTTATAAAAAATGTGCATAAATTTCAATTATACAACATACCTATTTTCTACAAATTATTGTGTACCTATTTTTAATTTATGAAAAATGTACGGAAATTTCAATTACAAAGTAATTGACCTATTTTTGTTAATTTTTTTTGGTAAATAATATACCTATATTTTTATACGTATATATTTATATTTATATTTTTCATATATACATTATTGGATATGTAATTTACATATATTTTTTTATTTGCAATTTTAAGGGGCCATATGTTAGAGGGAATGGCAACCAAAAGAAATGAGGTGATTGATATGCTATTAATAGGGAGTTTTAATTACAATTATGGTAGTTAATGAAATGCTTTGAATAAATTATAAATAAAATATGAAGTTTGATGGCAAGGATGTGAAAACATAGGAATACAACGACCTCTTATATCATACTGGTCATTTAAGTTTGAAATTGAGTTTTACACATAAATTTATAGAATGATGGATATATGTCTAGGAAATAGAAATTGTAGGGACCTATATTGGACAAGCTCGTTTAGAAGCATTTTTAAAAAGCGCAATAAAGTACGTGAGACGTGGCAAAGATCCTAGTCCAATTTAGAGAATGACACATCAATTCATCAACGTGATCGACTGCCACTGGAGCATGAACCAGCTCCTGCTCTTGCGTCACCACCACTAGTCTCTATGCCTGCACACACTCGATCACCAATTTTTCGCAGTTTCTTACTTTAATCTTTACAATTTTTTCTTTTCCCATGATTGTTGCCGTAAGGCACTACTTCTTCAGGCTTTACTTTCTCTCATTTACTCCAATTTCTGCCTCCAATTTTTCTTTTTCTTTTTCTATTTTTTGGCCTTTTTGTAACCACTTAATGATATTTACTAGCTCTTGTTGGCTTTGCAAACTAAGCTTGAGTTGAAATTGTCCCACATTGAAAGAGGCAAATGAGTAGATGAGTAGAGAAAGAGGCAAATGAGTAGACAAACCTCATTTACCTTGTTATATAAGCATTTTCATGTTCTAAGAGAATGGGTAGACAAAATATACATACTCTCTCAAATAAGTTAAAATTGCCTACTTCAAATCAAAGTGAAGAGGTATATTGGGCACAACTTACTTTTTATAATGAAATATCGTCTCCACTCTCTCACCTATTTTCTATAAATATAATAGTAAATATAAAAGATAAAAATAAATAATATAATAATAGTTTGCAGACTTCCATTGCCTAGTCCCTTGGAGTGACCAATTTTTTTTATGAGGCAAATGGGTAGGCAAGATGCCACCTAGATTGTTATAGTACAATTTCGCTTATTTCATTTGCATACTCTCTTGGAGATGCTCTTATAAGACATAGTCTTGTAGGTAGCTTAGTTTAAGAAATTTTTTATTATTACATTAATGATTAATTACTTGATTATTAATTGACTTGCGGGTTTGACCTTTGGATCAATGATTAATTGACTCTATGATTTAATTAAACCCAGTTAATTTCTTGATTATTATTATTATTATTTTATTACATTACTGTTGTTGTATGGAACTCCAACAACAAGATCTAAAATATCAATGCTCCAAAAATAAGGAAATTTCAATGGAAATATCGGGAAACTATCGATATCGGTAAAAATTGAATAAAAATCATGGAAATTGTAAGAAAAACTTGGAAAATTTTATTGAAACTTTAGAGGATGTTTATTTAGTAAGTTATCTATCAGTTTATCAAAAGAAAAAGAAGAAGAAGAAGGAAATTAATGCATTGCATGATAAGTATAACTGATTTAAGTTGATTATATGGTGAGTTGTCAAACATTGCGGGTGTAGATAATATGTAGCAATTAATGAAAGAAGATTAAACACACCATAATAATTTATTTATAATGATTTACTATGATATTTTACACTTTATACATTATATGCCAACTAATTATGAAATTAATATGGAATAATAAAACCTAATAAGGAATAATAATACAATTCGATAATAAAATATAAATAACAATAAATATATTAAAATTATCATAGGGAAGAATTATACAACATTACTTAATTACTTCAAAGAATTAACATGCAAGTATTGTTTGGTTCTCACATGCACCGGTCCACACAAAAAAAAATTGTATAAATTAAATAATATAAATATAAGTTTGTAAACTTACCTTAAATATGAAACCCTTTGTGCAAGGCTGAAATAGAATCTGCATGGAGCAACAATATAAAAATAATAATTAAACAATGTAACAAAATGTGATAGAAGCATATAAAGTTTTTAAAAAACACATGCCATTGACTAAGTAATTAATTGACACAATTTAAAAGATAATACCAACAAATATGTAGAATAGATAATAATAAACATGCATAGTAAATAATAATAATGAATGAGAGTAACTTACTATAGTTCGATAGTTTTTTTCTTGGGAGGAAATTGAGGTTGATAGATATTGAGAATAACATGAGCATTATGTATTGCTTGGAGGGATGTTGAGAATTAGAGGACGACATGGGATCATTTGACAGTATATATAGAAGCAGAAGCTACGAGACTACAACAACTAATTAGTTACGAAAGGTTCCAGGAAAATCATCAGGGGTGGAAAAAAGTAGAAGTGAAATAATTGCCCACTAAACTAAAGAGAAGGATTCAGGCATTCACACACTAAAGGAAAGAAAAGAGCATGTGGGAGTGACAACGCAATGGCCCTCCCTTTACACGCTTTACGTACAAACCTTTGCTTTTGAGTTGGAATTTGTCGGGAGGTTTCAATAGACAAATAAAATTGAGGAACTTAGGATAATAAAATAAAATTGTATCCCAGTTTTTTATTTAAAAAATGAGATGTGAGCAATGACCGTCTTCTTTTGACCCCATTGGCAACGATTGTAATGTACTAGTTCAGACTTTACTATATGCACACGAAGTTGCAAAACAATCCAGCAAAATCATCAAAGCTTGAAAAAAGTAGAGAATAAATTAATAGCCTAAGCACTTTCGGCGAAGAAACTGTCATGCATCATGCATCTTGCACGCATTCAAACAAAAGAAATGGTATATGTAAATTACAATACCCGAGACGTGGCCGACAAGCCATTGCAAATGATCAACTAACAATCGAAAAGAATTGCAGAAATAATACCCACGCACATGCTGTTGCCTAACTTTGGGATTATCGGTGGAGTCTTTGTGAAAGTAATCACTTCAACTTTAGCACGTTTGCCCAGCTTACTTTTAACAATATGTAATCAATTGATAAAATCCTAATTAATATAAATCGGTGATAGGGACATAAGCTCAAGTACATATTCTTAACTATTGGAGTTACAAATTCTTTGCTTAATGATCTTAACATTTTGAGCATACAACATGTAAATTCTACACTTTCGAGCTTCAAAACTGATAAGGATTCATCGTAAATAGTCTGTACGTAGAAGGAAACAGAGGCCTCAGTAACAAGTTTGTAAAACGCAGGGGGCCTTTGAGCTCCCTCTACAACTTCAAAGAAATTATACCACCACACAAACACCTAATGGGAATCTTCAAAACCGCTTGCATCCAAAAACTGATGATGCAAATGATGTTTAATTTCATGGGTTTCACCATTATTAGTTTTTGAAGTTGTTCTTACTTTCCAACTTCAAATAACGTGCACTATTACAGTCTTCATATCATATGCAACAACAAGAGATAGGGAAGGAAACCCACGAAATCTGTACTAAATCAATCAGGAGGAAGCTTGATATTTATTTAAGATCCTTCATTTTGATGGCTGAAACAATTTGGAATTTCAAACCCCGAACATGCCCTGGAGAAAATATATAGGGAGTTTCACTAAAACACCCAAAATAGGGGTTGAAATTATAAAAAAATCCAAGCACTATTTAAACATATAAACACACCCAAAAACCCATCATTACACACACTCAAAATCCATTTATAAACACACCCAAAAAGTTGACTTTGGGGTTGATTTTGGGTGTGTTTCTATGTTTAAATAGTGCTTGGGTTTTTTTATAAATACATATATAGGATTGGGTTTATTTATAAATTTGTAAAATATATATTTGTCCCAACCTTGTGTGCGCGCATTACTTGAACTTGACAATGACTTTAGCGACGTGCAACAACGTGCATGAAGACGTTGCAGCAATGGGGGCAGCTCTGGTAAAGATTCAAGGCTCTTGCAATCAATTAGGTATAGGCGAGACAGCTGAGCAGCTTGTTTGATGCATGCACGTATGCTGTTAATTTCGGACTCTCTCATATTTAACTCTTGTAATGGGGTTAAGCAAACAACGTCATCAGAGATTTCTTTGACACTACACTTAGCGAGGTTTAGTGTTTGATTAAATCACCTTATCAGCAAATATTAACAAAGAAATAATAGTATATGATTATGAAGACCTACGTTGCCCGAGGATGAGGATCGATTCAAGGATGAGATGAGATCTAGAAAGAAGTGGTAGAGCTTATAGCTATATCATGTTTTAGCAATTCTACTAAGAGCATCTCCAAGGGAGATGTTAAATACAAAATGTTAAATTTGAATTTGATGGCTTATATATGTGGCAATTTCACACTTTGGAAAAAATTGCTCCACTTGAAATGTCAAATATCATATTATTTTATTAAATTTTTAAACGCAAATTGGACTCATATAATGCATAAAGTTTTAAAAGAGAGTAAATGATAATGGAGTTCATGACTAAAAAAAATATTTGACATCAAGCTTTTTGATATGTTATTTTTGACATATTTTCCAGCTTTTCAAATTCATGTAGAATTTGACTACTCGGTTTGAGCAATTTTAACCTTTAATTTTTGTCATTTCATGTACATGTGGCAATTTAACATATTGGTTGGAGATGCTCTAAAAGTATAACGGAAAAACAATGGAAATTACGGAAGAAAAACGGAAAAAAGTAGAAGCAGAGAGGAATTGTCCAAGCATTCAAACTTTGAAGCCATCCAACTCTTTCTTGATCTTGACTAAGAAAAGCACTGACAACCCAGGAAATAATCAGAGATGGAAAAAGAGAAGAGAACGGTGGACAAAAATTTAAGCATATTACACACTGAAAAAAGAAAAGGGCATATGGGGATAATGGGAGTGGCAGCGCAAACTTTGCTTTGAGGGTAATAAAATAAAAATATATCCTACTTTTTTATTTAAAAAATGAGATGTGAGCAATGACCATCTTCTTTTGACCCCATAGCCAACAATTGTACTAGTTCAGACTTGACCAATCCGGATTAGTTTATATACGGTTTGGTTTTCAGTTTTCCGGTTTAGACCGGCTCTTGAGCCCATTGGTTTTTGTTTGTTTTTTTTTTTTTTTTTTTTAGAGATTTTAGAGATTAACTGAATTTTTTAAAACTTTGAAAGTTTGCAAATTCACAAATTAGCCCAATTCCCATTCCAACCATCCCAACTGAATCTAGCAAACATTAAATGTAAAATTACAATCCTATAGGACCTGGCGCATGGAAGAACTTCTCCCCCTCTCTCTCCCTCTCACTCTCTCTCAACCATGTCTTTGTTCTCCAACATTGGACTTTAGCTTGAACCGGCCTAGTAACAGAAACCTTTCCTTATGGGCCGTCGGGTCGGATCGACTCCACCGAAAGTTGTGACACGTTGTAGAAAATCCTAATTCACTTTGGAGAAGGACGTGGCACCATTGGGATCCATTGCTCCTTCTCTCTCTGCAAAAGAAAACGAGCCTGCCAGTCAGCCACAGAGAGAGAGAGAGAGAGAGCTTCAAAAATATGGCAGCAATGGCTTGGAGGCTTCCCACCCAGCTGGCAACACCCGGTAAACTCCATCATCATAATGACTCCAAAACGACGGAGTATCAGAGCTCATTCTCATGGTGCCGTACGTTAGCTGCCGACCATCTCCTTCCTTCTTCTTCTTCCTTCTCCACCCGTATAGGTTCGTCAGGGACACCTGTGAGGCCAACCAGTATTCTAGTGGTTGGTGCCACTGGGACTTTGGGTAGGCAGATTGTGAGAAGAGCATTAGATGAAGGCTATGATGTTAGGTGCCTGGTTAGGCCTAGACCAGCCCCTGCTGACTTCCTCAGAGATTGGGGTGCTACTGTTGTCAATGTAAATACAACTTCCCTTCAATTCTAAATTTTCACTCTAAATTCTTATTTATAGTTTAAGTTCTATTTGGGTTCTTGGTTTTTCTTACTATCAGAGATATTTGGTTTGACAATTTGTTTTGCTTCTTGAAATTCAAGTACTTCGTTGCTGAATGTGTGATGTAAAATTGTGATGAACAGGCAGACCTTAGCAAACCAGAGACCATACCTTAGCAAACCAGAGACCATACCTGCAACTTTGATTGGTATTCATACTGTCATTGATTGTGCCACTGGCCGTCCGGAGGAGCCCATCAAAACGGTAAGTTTCTACAGTTAATTGGTTCTTTGCTTGTCAATAGAAACAGATTAAATCAGCCTGGAAATTAATTCCCAACTGTAGATCATCTTTTGAGGCTACCATTGGTCATAGGATGAGCAGTTAGTTCATTACATTCGATCAAAGAATGTCATTGTCCACTGCTCCTTTCCTACTTGCTTTACAGTGTTGTGACATTGTCATATGGACTTGCTTCTGTTTTTTTTTCAACAATAAGTTGTGTTTTTGTGTTTATCCTTGGTCAATGAAGAAACTGAAAAAGAAATTGAAAAAGGTGTAACCGTTTAATAAATGGTCCCAGTGAATCCAGAAAGTTGTTGAGAGATTCTTGTATACATATTCCATTTTCTAGGTCCTCGGCAATTATGAGGGCTATTTTATTCATTGCAGAAAATATGATCAGACTTGATAACGTGTCCAGTATTTTTGTTCTTCTCTGACCATTTTTTATGTTTAGGTAGATTGGGAAGGAAAAGTTGCTCTTATACAATGTGCAAAAGTGATGCAGGGCTGATGCCCACTTAGATTAGGAAGTCTAATAGATGCTCCTGCATCAAAAAGCAATGGGAATCCAAAAATTTGTATTCTATTCCATCCACAACTGTGACAAGCATCCCGAAGTTCCCCTTATGGAGATCAAGTATTGCACTGAAAAGTTTCTCCAGGATTCAGGCCTAAATCACGTTATAATTCGTTTATGTGGATTCATGCAAGTGTCAATGAAACTGAAACTTGGACTTCCTCTTTTACGATCTTGTTACTGGCATAACCAAGTTTGTGCTTCACCTGTCATTGATGTTTCAAATCAATTTCCTTAACTTCTTATTACTCTCATATGATACTCCTCCAACCCCCATTCACTTTCTTTATCAGAAAGAACAGTTAATTTAGATAGAGTGATAACAAGTAGCATGTCTAAATATCATTCAATTACTTGACAGACACAGGCATGCTGATGCGGACATCTGTGACAAACCTTTTAAGGTTTACCAAAGAAGGAAGAAACGATCAGCCAAGCCAACATTATCATTATGGTTGGGGTGAAATCTTAGTTTCCAGATTTCACTAGGAAAACTATTTTTTTCCAGATTCCAGATTTCACTAGGATTTCTAGATTTTCCAGATTTTACTAAGTTTTAGTTTCCAGTTTTTAGTAGGATTTGATTTAAGTTTCCTAGTTTGTTTGGATTGGCTCCTTTGTGGATTAGGATTCCTTTTTAGTAAGGGATTTTTATCCTATTGTCTCTAGGTTTAGTTTGCTATAAATACTCCCTATGTAGTTCTAAAAATTCAGATTTGAGATATTAAGAAAAGTTTACTTTCCAGAGATTGGAGACTTCTTGGTGTGAAGCCAAGGCATCTTTTACCACCTATTTTCTGTTTTTCCATTGTTCTCACTTTCGCTAAATTACCCAAATACTCAACTCACCCATATCCTACATCAAATTTGGTATCAGAGCCAGGTTTTCGTTTTCCTTGGGTTCAAACTTTTCGAGTATTTCTTGTTCTTCACACGGTGTGTCAAGTGATGGCTCCGACTAAGCCTGGAAAGACAGACGAGCCAGAGACAGACTTTGAACGTCTTATTTAGATGATGGAAAACTTATCAAAGCAAGTGGCGGATTCAGACACTAGATCCAGACTCGTGGAACGTCGCCTTGCAGACTTAGAAGTAGCAAACCAACATGATGAAGCAAGTGTGAATGGAGACGAGAGGAATCATGATCGACAACGTCATGATAGAAGGAATGATCGAGACGCAGAGAGACACAATTTTCCTCGTGGCTATGAGCAAGACCCTGATGAAAGGGTGATGAGATCAGTGAAAGTTGACGCTCCTAATTTTGATGGTGAGCTAAACCCTAAAGCACTACTCGACTGGTTGGCTACCATGGATCGCTATTTTGAGTGGCATGACATGTCTGAAGCTCAAAAGGTGAGATTTGCTAAAATAAAATTGGTGGGTCAAGCTGGATTGTTTTGAATCAATGTTGAAACACAGTTAGAGAAATTTGCCAATCACGAACTTTTTGGCACCAGCATCTTTTGTTTTGTATTTTTTCTCAAGTAACTCCCACACTTCCTTTGCATAATTGTATGATGAATAAATGTCATACAGAGTATCATCAAGCCTGTTAAGGATGTAATTTTTGCACAGGAAATCAGATTGTTTCCAAGCCTCAATGGTCATCATTGTTACCTTAGACATTGGATTTTCTCCTGATTTAGGAGCCTCCTCTTAACAACATGTGACAAATTTATGGTTGTTAGATAGAACAACATCTTCTGTTGCCATCTCTTGAAGTCAATTCCCTTGAACTTCGTAGGCTTCTCGTCATGAGGATTCCTAGTCACCCCATTCACAGTCATTGATGATTGTGAATCCATCGCTTACTGTCTTTAGATTGTTGTAAAAACAACAATCAGTGACTATTTAGAATAATTATATAAATAGAATTTAAAACAAACTGTAAAACAGAATGCATTATATAAACAATAAATTAAACTAACTTGGATTCGAGATAGAGGCTTGCAGATTTGATGCTGTTAGATAAAAATTGTAAACCTCCAAACATAATTTCACCACCACTAATCAATTAATGGGGTTTTATTATTTTAGGTTCGACCCATTCGAGACGCAAGTCTCTTAATTACAATCCCTCGCTACAAGGGGAAAACCCTTTGATTCCATCATAAAGAAACAGAATGTAAGTGTTTGGTTTTGCGGCTGCTCCCAAGTTCAACCTCAGGGTGCCTACGTATCCTTTGCAGGAATCAAGCCACTCGTAGTTCAAAGATTCGCAATGAATAGATGACTCATTGCAAAAAGGGAAATTTGAATGAATTCGATTGAGGGGTGTTTGAGTGAATTTAGCTGAATAAGCCAAGGATTCGATATGGAGTTGTGTTTGGGATGGTTGCATCTAGATTGAATCTCTAGATTGCCTACGTACCCTTTTAAAGGGATCAAACCAACGTAGTTCGGACTTGATTTGTGTGGAGATTTGATTGGTGAGAATTTGGTTGCGGTAACCAGTGATTCAAATTTGGTTGCGGTTGCGTCTATTGGGATGTTAGACTGCCTACGTACCCTTGATGGGATCAAACCGACGTAGTTCCAAGTTTGGAAATTAATGGGTAAGTGTGGCCCAATAATTTAGAATTGGTGTCTTTGAAACGATTTGAAGATTTTCATAGGTAGATGACCTATGGGAAAAATTGGAAATTAATGGGTAAGTGTGGCCCAATAATTTAGAATTTGTGTTTGAGATATTTGAATTTAATCTCATTGGAATTTTCATAAGTAGATGACCCACGAGAAAAAATTAGAAATTAATGGGTAAGTGTGGCCCAATAATTTAGAATTTGTATATTTGAGATAATTTGGGAATTTTCATAGGTAGATGACCTATGGGAAAAAATGAAAATTAATGGGTAAGTGTGGCCCACTAATTGAGAATTTGTGTTTGAGATATTTGAATTTAATCTCATTGGAATTTTCATGAGTAGATGACCCACGAGAAAAAATTAGAAATTAATGAGTAAGTGTGGCCCAATAATTTAGAATTTGTATATTTGAGATAATTTGGGGATTTTCATAGGTAGATGACCTATGGGAAAAAATGAAAATTAATGGGTAAGTGTGGCCCACTAATTGAGAATTTGTGTTTGAGATATTTGAATTTAATCTCATTGGAATTTTCATGAGTAGATGACCCATGAGAAAAAACTGGAAATTAATGGTTGAGTGTGGACGAATTTGGTTAGGATAAAACCAGGGATTCAAATTTAGTTGCGGTTGCGTCCATTGGGATATTAGACTGCCTACGTACCCTTGCTGGGATCAAACCGACGTAGTTCCAAGATTTGGACCTTCAAAGGGTAAATGACCCTTTGAAAGAATTTTATGTTTGAGAAATTTGAATTTTGATCTTATTGAAAATTCGCAGGGTAGATGACCCATGAGAAAATGTGGAATGGTTTTGTACCATTTTTATTGTTAAAGTCCAAAGAAAATTAAAAGGCATTTTGATGAGCCAATTAATTTACTCACATATGGTTTTAAGGATTAGTCCATTAACCACATAATTTATTTGGACCACCCATAAAATATTTTGGACTTTTGAGAGTTAATGGGTAATTTATTTTGTCAACCCATCAATTTGTTTTCGGGCCGTAACATTTATATTAGTTGGCCCATAAACAAAGAGTCCATGTCTGAGAGCCAGCTGCCAATTGAAATCAAAACCAATACAGAGCTTTGAGTTTGAGAAACCAAAACCGAGGTAAGTCCTTTCTTCTTTCCTCTGCTTGTCAGACTTAGACTACATAACCAATTAAGATATAAATTGGAAGTATGGGAACTAACACAACCCATTAAAATATTAATTGGTAGTATGGTAGCCTAATGGACAACGTCTGTTTGTCAAAATACATAGGTACTTTGCCTTTTCTTTGTCCCTTCTGGCTTTTCTTCCTTGTTTTGTTTTTCGTCACTTTTCTCTTTCAGCTTCTGGGACTTCTTCAACTTTTAGGCTTCTTTGTCTTTGGCTTATGTTGCTTTTGGGTTCTTCAACAGCCGCAACACAGGAGGCTTCTTGGTGAGCCATTTTTCCTTTTGCTTTTTGCTTGTTGATGCTTTGTGCATTCTTTTCTTTCCAATTTGATTGGAGTTTCTAAGGCTTTACATATTTTCCTTTGCAGACTCGTATCATTTGAGAGGGCCACCGTACTGCCAATTGAGGTGCTGGCTTTGCTTTGTCTCAGTTGCTTCATATTTTGCCAGCAACAAAGTGAGAAGCTTTTATGATATTTGCATTTTGCTACAGAGGAGTGTTGGCTTAATAATTTTCGTGGGCTGTCCGGCTTGGGATTTTTTCTTTGTTGGCAAATTTTGAAGCACAGAACGTGGGTGTGATTCATCGGCTCTTGTAAGCTTTCTGGCACTCAGTAATTTCTGCATCTCTTTTAATATATTTTCTTCTGTTTATGCCAATGGGTGAGACTAAAACAGAGTTATTGATTTTCTCCATTTGCAGCACGTTTGCCACCTGTTCTTTCTCCAATTTGCAGATTTGGAATTTTACTCTGCTGAAGGTGGGTTGGGCATGTAATAAAACGTCTGGACTGTTGATGTTTTCTGTTTTTGGTACTCAAGAACACTCGCAAGGTCTTCTCTGAGTACCACAATGTGCCTGTGGACACTCACAAGGTGTTCACAGCACTTGTACAGTGGGGTTCTTGCGGAAGCCCATCTGTAATTCACAACAGAGAGGTCCTTGTGAGAGCTCTCTTTGTGTAAGTAGCACAATTATTGCCAATTTGGGAGGATTAATACAGAGGGGTTCTTATGGATGCCCATCTGTATATTTTCACAGAAAGGAGGTCCTTGCGAGAGCTCTTTCTATGCAATGTTGCAGTGACACCACTATTTTATCTCTGGGAAGGATCTAATCCTTCCGTCTGCAGTTTCTTGAGATCTCTGACAAATTGACAGCAAGGACATGGAGGAATTTCGCAGCGCACATTCTCAAAGCCTTTATGGCAGATTGATATGAGAGATATTTGTTGCTTTCATAAAGAAATGTGTTTTCAAGATGTTGGCATCCACGCAGAACTCATGATCTACCATTTACAGAGGCTTGTTGGATTAAACTTTGCATCGGATGTTTTTGAGCCGCAAAGGAATAACCTGTATTGAGAGACACCCTGAAGTTTTACAGCAAAGAATGAACTTTATACCTTGCCTTTCTTCTCTGATTGCTCCTGCCCTTTTGTTTCTTCCTTGATTTTTCTGTTATTTGAAATTTTCTGCAGGACCTTGGGTATCGTTTCTTCACGCTTCAATATCAATTTCTGAAGCACTTTCTTGCTTCTCGGCTCCTCCCCTCTTTGCAGCCCTTGATTCCTCTCTGTGTTTTCTCTCCTGCAGCACCTCTTTTCTTTTTCTCCTCCTGTCCTTGTCGCCTTGCAGGCTCTTTTTTCAGCCTCCCCCCACTTTTCTACAGCATCTCCTCCTTTCTTTTTCTCCTCCCGCTGTCCTCTGTACGTTCATGTCTTTTATAGGCAAAAGATGAACAGCAGTTGGGGAAGCACGTTTGCTAAGTGGGCAATTTCTCTGCTGAATGGAGTTGCCAAGGATAAACACGATCTCTTCCCACCTTTTATTTTTTATTTGTTTTATTTTATATTTCTTTTGAAAACTGACCTTATCCCCTTTTTAATTTCTAGAAGGAACAATCAGCAACCCTAAAGATCAACCTTCACGTCTTGGGCTTTTATCCTGGGCTCCTTTCCTTGTCTTATAATTTTTTTTGTGTTCAACAGATGCAATGTCCTAAAAACAGTAATTTCACCCATTCTCAGTGCTTGAAGTTCTATAGGTGACTGTCTCCCAAGATTCAACTATCTGTATTCTAAGCCCTAGCACTTGGACTTAGAATCTGGCGAACTTTGTTTGTTTTCCTCTCAGACAATGTGAAATGCTTGTCGAATGCTTTTTCTGTGTTGAACGAATGAGACTTAGTTTGATTTAAATAAACCTTTGAAACCTTATCAGAAGAGTCACAACTGTTAGAAAACAGTTAATTAAACTAATCTGAATTAATAAAAAAATTATTAATTTGAAGCCAAAAAATTAATTTAAAGTCCAATTTGCTTCCACTTGGCCCACTTCCATATACTAAGTGTGAGACTTCCACACTTACAAAGACATCACTCTTTCTACTTTCTACCAATGTTGGACAATAATTCTTGAATTTCATTCAAACTTCCAACAATTTGGGTTCTTGGTTGACAGAAGAAAAATCTTGGTTTTCTGTGGTTGTAAATTTATTATGTTTTTTTTCTTCCCAAACGTGGTTGTAAATACTTTGAACTTTGTCCAATTAATATACAAAATTTGGGCAAGGCTTTATTTTCTATTTTCTACCAATCAAATTTAGAAATCTTCGAGTATAATTTCTTGTTTCTGGTTTACTACAACAAATTACTGGCTGTTTTTTTCTTTTCTTAATTGCTCTGTTGAAGATTTCCATTTTCTCCTTTTTAAGATTGAGCTGCTGAAGTTGGAGGTAGCAAAGGCAGGGAAGACACCTGAAGTTGGAGGTACAATCTGTTGCCTGCTTTCGTAGGTTTCTTATATTGGAACGACATTCGATTTTCCAATTTCACTGAAGCAGCAGCAACGGCAAAGCACATTGTGTACATTAAGGCCTCAGCAGTTGAATTCGAAAACAAACAAGCTTCAAAGTTAGAACAGAGCTAATCAAATGGATCACTTGACGATTTTCGATTCAGTCTGTTAGCACAAATGAAAGGAATTACTAAAGACATATTGAAGATAAATTAACAGATTCTCATTTCATTACACACAGGCTTCCAATAACAAGTACACAATTTCTTGAAACTCAGATTGAACTACAGAGAATCGAGACAAGCCAATGCCAGAAATTCGTAAACTACATACACAGACCAAATGAGAATTACAAAAGTTTCCTTAAACTAAACAGAAAATCAATAAAATATATGTTTCTCGTGAAGTCCTCGAGAAAATATATATTTGCCCCAACCTTTTGTGAGTGCAGTGCTTGAACTTGACACTGTGTTCAATGACGTGCAACCATGTGCTTCAAGACATTGCAGCAATGGGGGGAAGCTCTGGTAAAGATTCAAGGCACTTGCAATCAATGAGGAACAGGCGAGACAACTGAGCAGCTTGTTTGATGCTTACAAGTATGCTTTTAATTTTGGTCCATCTCATATTTAACACTTGTAATGAGGTTAAAAGAGGTAGTTGATAATTTTAGAAACTCCAGATGTTCCATAGCCTCCGAGGTTTCTGGTAAGTTTAAATTTTTGAGCACCAACTGAGATCAAGGCTCTCCAGAAATTTCAACTTCCAAATGTTCGTTGGGAGACTGACAAGGTTATTGCAACGTTTGAGATCTAATTTTTGAAGCACAACTAGATTTCCAATTGATGGGAGTAGCTCTATAACCTCTGTATCTGATAATTTAGAAACTCTAGATGTTCCACTGCCTCTCCGATATTTCTCCGATATTTCTGGGAAGTGTTGAAAGTTAGAGCAACCACTGAGATCAAGGCTCTCCAAATATTTCTTGTTTATTCGCAATGCTTTTATATGTTTCTCATGAAGCCCTTGAGAACTAGAACGTCTTCAGTGATGGGGAACTCTGGTAAAGATTCAAGGCTCTTGCAATCGTTGAGGCACAGGCGAGACAGCTATGCTTGCAGGTATGTTCTTAATTTTGGTCCAACTCAGATTTAACTCTTGAAATGGGGTTAAGCAAAAGAGGTCATCATGGACAACCTCAAGGTTGTTGCAATCATCGAGATCTAATTTTTGAAACACAACTAGATTTCCAAGTGATAGGGGTAGCTCTTTAACTGTTGTACCTAATAACTTTAGAAACTCCTGATGTTCCATAGCCTCCGAGATTTCTGAGACGCATTGAATTTTGAAGCAGCAACTGAGATTAAGGCTCTCCAGATATTTCAAGTTCCAAATGTTCGTTGGGAGACTCACAAGGTTATCACAATAACTGAGATCTAAATTTCGAAGCGCAACTAGATTTCCAATTGATGGGGGTAGCTCTTTAACCGCTGTATGTGATAAATTTAGAAACTCCAGATGTTCCATAGCCTCCGAGACTTCTGGGAAGTTTTGAAATTTGAAGCAGAAACTGAGATCAAGGCTCTCCAGAGATTTCAACTTCCAAACGTTCGTTGGGAGACTCACAAGGTTTTTGCAAGAGGCCAGTTTAATTGCAGTTGTATTCTTGGGAAGCTCCCAAAACTCGCAAAGAGAATCGCAGTCCTCTAAACTAAGAGAACCCAAGAGTTTCAGCTTACAAGGGTTGCTTGGAAGACTCTTAAGGTGTTTACAATTTGTAATATCTAAGTGAGATATTTTTTCGTGAGACCAAACTGATGAAGGCAATTCCTCTATTGCTGTCCTAGACAAATTTAAAAATTCAAGATTGCATGGCATCTCAGGAAGATTTTTGAGATTTGTGCACCAGCCAAGGTCAAGATAAGTAAGCTTGCCAAGATGTTGAAAATACGAAGGAATTTCAACCAAACTTTGACAGCCATTCATATCTATATGCTCAATTTTTAGACTTCGAGAGAGATTTGGGACTTCAGTTAAACGTTGGCATTCACTAAGACAGATCCATTTTAAGTTCACAGGACTCTGCAACAAAATTAAAGAGAAATGGCAAGATTTTTACTTTCTAGGCCACATGTTATACAAGAACTAAAATAAGCATATATAATATACCTGGTCTTCATTCCAAAGTTGCGCCCCAATTACTTCACTGGACAACATACGAAGGACAAGAAGATTTTTAGCAGAAAATTTTGATGGCAAAGATTTCAAAGGATATTTATACCAATTAAGATATCTAAGAGAATTGGGAAGATCAAGAGAAACAATTAATGGGTATTTCCCAAAAGATGGACCGACATGTAGCCATCTCAGTTGATACATCTTTTCGAAGTTTGCATGCTCCAACTCCTCTTCAATCTCAGACCAGTTAAAGGATATGGCTTGAACATATTCATCTCTCTGACAATCAAGAGCAAAATATAAATGTAAATATAATATACAAAAGAAGTTTAATCAAAATTACATTTGTAGGAATAATAATCTGACTTGTTTCTTGTAAATGTGAATAATTAAACTACCTGGTCATTTGTCAATACTTGATAGACATCCTCTGCAATGAACAACCTACTGCGTTGTTCTCGAGCGATTGCCCTACCCATTTCTTGCACCAAATCATGCATCTCTACTAGTCCTTCTGGCTTCATATTTATCCCTCCTCCTTTTGAAATTGAGATGAGAGACCTATCAATAAGATCATTGATTCCCTTTTCCCCATAGAAACCACGAATGTCTAATAATTCTTTTACATAATTCCTCTCATAGCCTTTATAAAAACATGCTATATCAAGAAATATCTCCTTCTCATTTTTTCCTAATCCTTCGTAACTTATTCTCAACTTTTCCTCGATTTCTTCGTTTGAAAATTGTTTCAAGTTGTTCCATTGGTCTTCCCACTCTTGTTTGCTCCTGCAACGATGGAATAAGGACCCCATAACTTTAAGAGCTAATGGATTGCCCTTACTATAATCTATCGCCTTTTTTGACAAGCCAGCACAATCTGTTGTTGAAGACTTATTTCTGAAAGCACAGGAATGAAAGAGCTGAAGAGATTCTTCGTAACTTAATCCCTCAACGTTGAATATCTTCGCATGGTCAACATTTTGTTCAAGTAGGCCCTTATCTCTAGCAGTTATAATGATTCGACTTCCGTCGCGAAACCGATCATGGTCACCAACAAGAACTTCTAGTTGGTTTGAAGCATTCACATCATCAAGAACAATAAGCGCCTTTGTACGCATGAGCCTATCTCGAATAGAAGTTGGTCCTATAGACAGAGTGCCGATGTTTATATCTCTGTCCTTTAATATCTCACGAACAAGTTCATTTAGCAACTGATTTAATCCACCCGTTTGTTCTGATTTCTCCCTAACATTTGCAAGAAAACAATAAGCTTCAAATTTAGAAGGGTGCCTGTGAAATACAGCCTCAGCAAGGGTGGTCTTGCCAATACCACCCATGCCCCAAATACCTACACAGCAAACACCTGGTGAATCCAAGCATAATGACGACTCAATTGTCTCAATCTTCTTTTCGATTCCAACCAGACGCTTTAAATCACTTGATGATTCACGATTCAATTTGGTCAAAACATCTCGGACAACTTTCTCAACTAAACTGGCTTCCGTACTGGCACATCAAGGACAAACAAACAAATTGTTAGTAAGTATGCTCAGATTGGCGTAATGAAATAATCACAACTAGAAATCAAAATATAAGGTACAGAATTAGTTACTCTGTTTTTTCTGAATTATCAAAGCCAGATAGATTGGCTGCTTGTGTCAAAGCATCCCTCCAATTGTGCACCTTGTCGATACTGTCCCTGAAACGTTTTTCAAGTTGACGAAATGCAAGTGCATAACTCCCCTGTTGTTTCCGTACATCTGATGGACTGATGTCGTAAAAAATGGGTATAACCAACTGGCCATTTTTGTCCTTGCATAGTATATGCACAAGTTCATCCAGACACCAAGTAGAAGAAGCATAGTTTTTTGAGAAAATGATTACCGAAATCGTTGATCTCTGGATTGCTTCGAGAAGGGCAGGAGTAATTTCACCTCCACTCACGAGCCTGTCATCTATGTAGGTTTCGATTTTCTTCCTACATAAAGCTTCATAAAGATGGCTGGTAAAAGTAAGACGGGTGTCCTCTCCTCTGAAGCTAATAAACACATCATACTTTTCTTGAAGAGGGGGATTATCAGTATCAACAGCAGCAACAGAAGAAGTGGAAGAAGAAGAAGAAGAAGAAGATGTCAATGATCTGAAGTAGATGTAGAAGAGAGTCATGATGAGTATGATGATTATGATGAAAACTTGAAAGAACTCAATGGATTCCATATCTGTTTATCTGAATGCACCAGAGCTATAATGAAAGCAAATCTGATATTTGAGGCGAAAACTTGAAGAAGAAAGATAATCTGAGGATCCAATTAAGCGGTTAAGAAAGAAAGAGAATAGAAAGCAATTGCTCAAGTTGACGTGACTTGACTATGTGCACAAAGCTACAAAACGATCCAGGAAAAGGACAAGTGAAATAATTAGGCAAGGAAATTCAATCATTCATACACTGAAGAAAGGAAAGGACATATGGGAGTGGCAGCACAATGGACCCCCTTATAAACGCTTTACGTACAAACTTCTGCTTTTGAGTTGGAATTTTTCTTGAGCAACTTTTGTTTTACTTACAAAGTGTGAAGATTACATTTAAAATCAACCGAGAAATTCCATGATAAGCCAATCTTTCATTGACTCTGTTTTTGCAGTATCTTGTGTGGTTTTGGTACTATCAAGACCTAGTTGAATTTTTTATTTTTATTTTTATAATGAGTTATAAGTGATAGCGTTTTTCTTTTAAATAAAATCCATCCTTGCTAACAAACTTAAAACAAGAACTCTCTACTTCTATAATGATTCAAAACTATGGGATGGAGGAATGAAATAAAGATACTATACAAGAACTAGGAGAGCTGTCATTTAAAGAATTAGAGTTGTCATGTCACAAAACCAAGTTTGTATGTCAAGTATTACAAACATAGGAATTCCTCTTTTCTTGAATATTCATTAAGAAAAAACAGATAAACTTACTGAAATTTACAAATTCATGTCAGTTTCGAATCGTGTTGTTGTGTAAAAGTTGTCAAACCTCAAACATCTAGCATCATTGCGAGTCATTGTGACGAGGATTGAGGATGATGAATATTCAAGAACGCCACTGCGCACACCCCCATCAATTTTCACTTCCCTCATAATGTCCTCGTCCCTTTTCTGCATGACTGACTGGAAGTGGAAAATGGACAACGCGATGCTTAGGTGTTGTGTTGTGATTCGTAAAACATGAAGCAAACGTTATATACGACAATTGGAGTGCGAGAATATGTACGTACTGTAGTTTGGTTTTAAGAGGGGAACCATCCATCTGTTTACTGTGTCGTACCATGACAAATATGTACCAATGGACAGTTTCTTACGTTAGCTTGTCATTGCTGACCACCATCCCCATATCCGCCCCAACCTCGAACCAAGCCCAGAGATCCGCCGCCGACCTACCCACATGGACTCGCCCCGACCTTGACTTAACCCCTACAGATCCGCCCTCCCCGACCCACTCTCTCATTCTCTTCCTCCCTCTAATGAACCTCCATTGTTGCCTGATTCAGCAGGATCTTGTTGACGGCCATGGTTGTCTCAAGCACTCTTGTCTTTCTTGCTTTCTCTAGGCAGAAGACTTTCCTACCAATCTCCAAAGAAAACTGCTCTGTGTTCTTGATTGGCTCTGTGATTATTTTTTTTCCTGAAAGAATACTGATAGATTTTATGGTTCTTGGCAAGGCTTTTTTTTTCTTTCTATTTTCTACCAATCAAATTTAGAAATCTTCGAGTATAACTTCTTGTTTCTGGTTTACTACAACAAATTACTGGCTGTTTTTTCTCTTCTTAATTGCTCTGTTGAAGATTTCCATTTTCTTCTTCTTAAGATTGAGCTGCTGAAGTTGGAGGTAGCAAAGGCAGGGAAGACACCTGAAGTTGGAGGTACAGTCTGTTGCCTGCTTTCATAGGTTTCTTATATTGGAACGACATTCGATTTTCCAATTTCACTGAAGTGGCAGCAACGGCAAAGCTCATTGTGTACATTAAGGCCTCAGCAGTTGAGTTCGAAAACAAACAAGCTTCGAAGTTAGAACAGAGCTAATCAAATTGATCACTTGATGATTTTCGATTCAGTCTGTTAGCACAGAGGAAAGGAAATACCAAAGACATATTGAAGATAAATTAACAGATTCTTATTTCATTACACACAGGCTTCCAATAACAAGTACACAATTTGCTGAAACCCAATTTGAACTACAGAGAATCGAAACAAGCCAATGCCAGAAATTTGAAAACTACGTACACAGACCAAATGAAAATTACAAAAGTTTCCTTAAACTAAACAGAAAATCAAGCTTAAAGACTTGTACATAGTTTTCACAACAGCCAAATAAATTAAGGTGAAAAAGACTTCTACCATGCACACAGGGCGCCAAAAATGTGTTTTACCCTTTCCTTTTCCCTTTTCAATTGTCTGAGGAGGTATTTCCCTTGTGGTTCCTTATCCACTTCCATGCCCTTGCACACAGGGCGCCGAAAGTATCACTTCCACTTGCTTCATACTCATCACCAGCTCTCTCAGTTTAATATCTTCTACTTTTAGTTCATCGGACGGATGAGAAGATTCATCGGAATGTTGTGTGTGTGCAGTCCTTGAACTTTGCAGTGTCTTCAGCGCAGTGCAACCATGTGCTTCAAGAATGACTAGCACTGGGAGCTCTGGTAAAGATTGAAGCCTCTTGCAATTGGTTAGGCGCAGTATAGACAGCTGAGAAGCTTGTTTGATGCTTGCAGGTAAGCTCCTGATCTTGCTTCCACTTAGATCTAAATCTCGTAACGCAGTTAAGCAAATGAGGGAATCATGGATCTCTGATATACCACAATAACTGAGGTTTAGTTCTTCCAAAGATCACAAACCAACTGAGAAGGAAGGCAAGTTTTTAAGTTTCGAACAGCCACCAAACATGAGAGTTTTAAGACATTTTAAATTGTAGATGCTACTCGGGACAAACTTAAGGTTTTTGCACCGATACAGCTCTAATGTTTGAAGCTCAATTAGATTTCCAATCGACGAGGGTAGCTTTTTAACTGCTGTTTCTGATAAACTAAGAAAGTATAGATGCTCCATACGCCCCAAGATCTTTGGGAAGTTTTTAAATTTGAAGCAACGAGTGATAATAAGTCTCTCAAGAGAATTCAACTTACAGATGCTCGTTGGGAGGCTCGCAAACCTTCTACAATTTTCCAGTATAATTTTCTTGAGACAAGAGAGATGCTCAATTGACGAGGGCAATACTTCTATTGATGTCTCAGTCAACTCTAACTCGGTCATATTCCTGGGAAGCTCAGAAAACTTGCGAAGAGATGAGCAGCCCCGTAAACTCAAATGACGTAATTTTAGCTTACTACTGCTGCTGGGTAGATTTTCAAGGTCCTTACACCATTCAATATCCAAGAAAGATAATTTTTCATTAGTCAAAACTGATGAAGGCAATTTTTTTATTGCAGTGCTACTTATATCTAAGTATTCAACATTTCCTGGTATCTCTGGAAGAGATTTGAGATTCGAGCAGCCTCCCATGTTAAGATAATTCAGCTTGTCAAGACTTTGATAACAAGGAATTTGAACCAAACTTGTGCATTCTTCAAGATTTATATACTCAACTTTTGGACTCAGAGAGAGATCTGGAACTTCAGTCAGTTTTCTGGAGTAACTAAGATCGATCACTTTTAAATTCCCGAGATTCTGTAACAAATTACAGAGAAATGGCAAGAGTTAACAACTTAACTTGAATAACTTTCCACACCACATTTTGTACAACAACTAAAATTAGCATATATACCTGGCCTTCATTCCAAAGTTGTTCCACATTGCTGCAGGACATTCGAAGCTCGACAAGATTTTCTGGAGAAAATTCTGAGGGCAATGATTTCAATTGATATCCCACCCAGCAAAGATAACTAAGAGAATTGGGAAGAGAAACTTCCAAATCCCAGTAATTTCCAAATCTAGAATTGTCAACATGAAGCAATCTTAGATTATACATCTTTTTGAAGTCTGCATGATGCAAGTGTAGCTGTCCAATCTCAGACATGTTAAAGAATATGGCTTGAACCGTTGCAGTTCCCTGACAATCAAATGCAAAGTATAAATATGAACAAAATATATATACAACAAGAATCAATCGTTACATTTATAGGCATCTAACTTGTTTATAACAAAGGAGTTTCTCACGTTTTTCACTAAGAAAGTTAATGAATATGGCTCTTACCGTATTGTTTTTCAACATGTGATAGACATCCTCAGCCATAAACAACCTACTCCGTTTTCCGGGCTCTTCAATACATTGTTCACGAACAATTTCCCTGCCCATGTCTTGTAGCAAATCATGCATTTCAATGAACATGCTTTCTGAAATTGATATGAGAGATTTATCACTAAGAACTCTAAGTGCTCGACGAAAACCACTAGCATCTAGCATTCTTTTTACAATATACTCCGTCTCCACTTTATTAAAACATGCTATATCAAGAAACACCTCCTTCACATTCTCTTCCAATCCATCAAAAGGTCTCAACACCTTCTGGATCTTTTTGCTTAAAACTTCTTTCAATTTGATCAACTCATCTAGCCAATCTTCTTTGCTCTCACAGTGTAGGAATGAGGAACCCAAAATTTGAACACCTAATGGAATGCCTCCAGCATAACCCACCACCATTTCAGCCAACTCTGTATATTCTGTTCTAGGAGCGTTATTTTTGAAAGCATTCAAATGAAAAAGTTGAAGAGCTTCATCGTGTGTTAATGCCTTAACCTTGTATATCTTATCATCTTCAACAGTTTTCTTAAGTAGGCTCCTATCTCTAGTTGTTATAAGGATTCTACTTCCGGGGCCAAACTGAGCATGATCTCCAGCTAGAAGTTCTATTTGGCTTGAGTCATTCACATCATCAAGAACAATCAGGACCTTTGTACGACTTAGCCTCTTTCTAACATGATCAGGTCCTATAGATGGAGTGTCGATATTTAGATTCTCATCATCTAATATCTTCCGAAGAAGTGTATTTCGCAAGTGAATTAGTCCATCTTTTTCTTCTGATTTCACCCTAACATTTGCAAGAAAACAAGAAGCTTCGAATTTAGAAGAGTTTCGGTGAAATATAGCATCAGCAAGAGTGGTCTTGCCAATACCACCCATGCCCCAAATACCAACACTGTAAACATCTAGCGAATCATCATCAATGCATAATAATGATTCAATTTCCTCGATGCGGTTTTCAATTCCAACCAAGCCCTTTAAATCACTTGATGTTTTGCGGTTCAATTTGCTCAAAACATCTTTGACAACTTTCTTAACTAAATCAGACTCTAGCCTGACAAATGATTATGAAGGACAACCAATAGTTAGTAACTTAATGAGTATGCCTGAACTGAATCAAAATGGTCAGAAATAGAAACTAACAAAAGTTACAGAGTTGTTAATTACCCGGTTTTGCTTGAATTATCGAACCCTGATATTTTGGCTGCTTTCCTCAAAGCAACCCTCCACTTGTGTACCTTGTCCATATTGTCCTTGAAACGTTCTTCAAGTTGAGTAAATGCATCTGCATAACTACCCTGCTGCTTACCTACATGTGATGGTCCGATGTCGTAAAAGATCGGTATAACAAACTGCCCATCTCTTCCCTTGCATTCCAGAACATGCACAAGTTCATCCAGACACCAAGTGGAAGAAGCATAGTTTTTTGAGAAAATGATTATCGAAAGCTTTGATTTCTCTATTGCTTCGAGAAGGGTAGGTGCAATTTCATCTCCTCTCTCGAGATTGTTATCTATATAAGTCTGAATTTTCTTCCCAAGCAAAGCAGCATGAAGATGGCTGGTGAACGTATAGCGGGTGTCCTCACCTCAGAAACTTAGAAACACATCATACTTTTCATCCATAACCTGTGCAAACCCACCCACAAGTCAAAATATGCATGCCAGGGCTACCGATGAATATAAATCTAGTTATTATTCAAACGAAAATGAAATTAACAACGTCAAGTAAGCTAAACATTGGGTGTATATATTCAGAATGAGAGATGCGACACTAGAAAATCTTTCTGCAATAGAAATATAAGAGATTTGGACTACGTACATTAATTAAAAATGAATTCGAAGTTAGAGACTGCTATGGTGTTTTTATTATTGTAGAGAATTCTCCAAGGGTAAGTCAGTATTGCAGAGTGAATGACTTAATTACTAGCAAGTGTTGACTTGTCGTATTGACCCAAATTAAATCCCTTTGTATTGTGTTTGTGTGGTTTGCGTTGCGACGTCTCTTAAGCTTTGCTGACTGACTTGAGCCTTTAGTTTGTAGCTTGTCTTGATGCACTCAGTCCTACACGGTTTGGGAGATAAGAAAGCTACTGGTTAGTCAATCGAGCAGAGAGCGCAGCAGCTTGATTGCTATTTTTTGGTCATGACGAAAAAGAAAATTCAAATGGGTCCAATTAATTTTGCAAGCCACTTTGAAAGTTCGCCACACGCGTTCAATTTCTTATGTGAACAAACTTCACGAGAATTCCAACTTTGACTCCTTCAACTTAAAGAGCTTGTGATTTTTAACTGAGAGAAAAAAAGATGTAAAAAAAAAAAAAAAAAAAAAAAAAAAAAAAAGAAAGAAGTAGAAAAACAAAGACAAAAGAAAAGATAAAAAAAAAGACGTGATATTGTCCTGAATGCGAAGAAATTTCTTCTCCAGGTCACAAGAGTTCTGGTCTTTCCAAATTGAAGAGCACACCTGCTCTATTTATAAAGAAATAGAAAGCAAAATAAATCAAAATCGGAGTTTATAAGCAAAATGAAATGAAAAGTCAAAAAGAAAATTGCAATTGTTAGCTTCATTACATATTAAGTATAAGGTACAAGTTTGAGCTGAATAATTTTTTGTAGATACGAATAAATTACATACGTGTTTTATTCGGCAAAATTTTGGCGAGATACAACTGAAGAATTTGGCCACTATATAATAATTTAATATATATTTTTGTTGTTGAATAATATGTGAAAATTACTGGTATAAGACGTGAATTTTGTCTGTATCATTCAAAATTTTATAAAAAAAGGAAAATGCTAGGCTTACCACATTGTGTACCACCTCTCTAATAGAGATGGACCCCATTGTATTTGTGGGCTCCATCTTTATTAGATATATGGTATAAAAATGTGGTAAGTCTAGCAAAAAAAAAAAAAAAAAAAAAAAAAAAAAAAAAAAAAAAAAGAAAGTAACAACATACATACACACATATCAAAGTCTTGCCAATACTACCCATGCCACCCTACATAGCAAATAGCTGGTGAATCAAAGCATAATAAAAACTCTATTTCCTTAATTTTCCTTTTAATTCCAACAAGCCTTTTAAATCACTTGACAATTCGCAATTCAATTTGGTAAAAAATATCTTCCTCCAAAGCAGCCCTCTAGTTGGCCACCTCATCCATATTGCCCTTAAAACACTTCTTAAGTTGAAGGCCTTTAAGGGCAGTGCTGGTGGCCTATGCCTCATGTGGCGGGAGGAAGTAAATATTCTCATTAAATCTTCCTTTCTCAATCATATTGATGCTGAGTGTGATTCTGGTGACTCGGAAGGAAAGTGGAGACTGACCGGATTCTACGACTGCCCCCAAGTGACTGAACGTATTTTCTCTTGGTATATCCTGTCTCTTTTGGGCCAGCAACCCTCCTTACTTTACCAAATTTTGTCTCGTCCAAATGGAATTTAATTATAGACGTGGTCTCAAGCTCGATTGTAGTCAATTCATAGGGTTGTCAAAGTAATAATGGAAGAAAAGGTTAAAATTTTTGGGAATTTGTTCTAAATTTCCAGTTCAAGAGAAGTATGAAAGTCGATTATACTAGGGGTGGGCCTTATTACCGAAAACCCGACCGAACCAGACCGCTTTAGGTGGTTTGGTTCGGTTTTTATACTTAAAAATAACAGAATCGGAAAAAAAGGCCGAATCGGCTCTGAATTGGGTTGGACCGGTTTTTATTCCCTTCAAACCGCTAAAAACCGAATCATACCGAATATTTTTATTTTTATTTTTATTTTTAAAGATACACGTGTCAGCAGATTATTCATCGAGTCTACGCCATTCCATACTCCTTGCTACACTAGATCTGGAGAGAAACCCTAAACAATTCAAGGGTTTCAAATTTTTTTTGGTTTCGCCTCTCTCTTTCTTCTTCGTTCTTCCTCTCAGTCACTCTCTCTCTCTCTCTCGCCTCCTCTCTCAATCTCTAGCCTCTGCCTCTCTCACTCTCTCCAAATTTCACACGAATCACGATATCTCAATCACTCTCTCTCTCTCTCACCCGCTCTCTCTAAGTCACTCAGGCATTGTTTAGTGGGCTGGACTGGATTGGATATTTTCAATTAAAATGGATATGAGTCCTAGCCATTGTTTGGTGAGTTTAAGTGTGTCTTGGAATGCATATGGGCATGGGATCCATGTCCTAAATAACTATGGCTCTAGAACCCAAGCCCATATGTGGGTTTAGAATCCGAGGCTTTTCCAAGCAAGCCTCTTCTCTCTTCTCTTGGCGAGACTGAGCACGTCTCTTCTCTCAGCAAGACCAAGCAAGCCTCTTCTTAAGTTCTTCTCTTCTCTCTCTTCCCCTCTCCCCTCTTTATTCTCCTCCTCTCCGATAATTTGAAAGAACTCCTTTTTCAATTTTGTTGTTAGATATTGAGATGTATTGATGATGTTGAGTGCTTTGACGAAATGCAAGCGCATAATTCCCTTTTTGTTTTCGTACATCTGATGGACTGATGTCGTAAAAAATGGGTACAACCAACTGCCCTTTTTTTTCTTTGCATTCTAGAATATGCACAAGTTCATCTAGACACCAAGTGGAAGAAGCATATTTTTTGAGAAAATGATTACCGAAATCGTAGATCTCTCGATTGCTTCGAGGAGGGCAGGCGCAATTTCATCTCCTCTCACAAGCCTGTTATCTATGTAGGTTTCGATTTTCTGCCTACATAAAGCATCATAAAGATGGCTGGTAAAAGTAAGGCGGGTGTCCTCACCTCTGAAGCTAATAAACACATCATACTTTTCTTGAAGAGGGGGGATATCAGTATCAGCAGCAGCAGCAGAAGAAGATGAAGAACTAGAAGAAGAAGAAGATGTTGATGATCTGAAGTACATGTAGAACAGAGTCATGATAAGTATGATGATTATGATGAAAACTTGAAAGAACTCAATGGATTCCATATCTGTTTCTCTGAATGCACCCGGGGCTATAATTAAAGCAAATCTGATATTTGAGATGAAAACTTGAAGAAGAAAGATAATCTGATGGGTTTAATTAAGTAGTTTGGAAAAAAAGAGGATAGAAAGCAGTTGCTTTACAAAACAATTGCTACAGAACAATCCAGGAAAAAAAGACAAGTGAAATAATTAGGCAAGCACTGTCGGTGGACAAAAATTCAATCATTCACACACTGAAGAAAGGAAAGGCCTGCTTTGAAAGTAGAAGAAGAAGAAAGGAAAGGTGATGGATGGGATAAATTAAGGGTTGCAGCTGAGGAGCCAATTAAGCAAGCGAGAGAGAGGGGGAGAGAGGGGTAGAAAGCAGTTGCTTGCAGAAACTACGCTAGATCAGATTTTATTTTGGCAATTGTTCTAGTTGACTTGACTTGGCTATGTGCAGAAAGCTACAAACAAAACGATCAGCCACCGAAAAATACAAGTAAAATAATTACCCAAGCATTTGCACTGTCGGCGGATAAAATTTCAAGCATTCACACACTGAAGAAAGAAAAGGGCCCCTCTTGACACGCGTTACGTACAAACTTCTGCTCTCAACACAACGGCCCCTCCTTCTCCCAAACTCCTTTGTCTCAATCATTTGCCATTGTTCGATCAAGTATCTTTCAATAAAATATATGCACAAACGATCCAGGAAAATCAATAGAGATTAAAAGATAAAAAAGTGAAGTGAAGGAGATTTGACCAAGAACTTTCGTGCATTCAAACCAAGAAATAAAGAATCCTAATGCAAGGAAATTTCCTAGTGATGGAATTGTTCTAGTCATTCCACCGTCCACTATTTAGTATTATATACAAGGACAGATAAGAAAGACTCAAGTTTAGATAAAAAGAAAGTTGATTTTTATTTTTTTATGAGTTATAAGTGATGGCTTTTTTCTTTTAAATAAAATCCATCCTTGCTAAGAAACTTAAAACAAGAACTCTCTACTTCTATAATGATTCAAAACTATGGGATCGAGGAATGAAATAAAGATACAATTAAGAACTAGGAGAGCTGTCATTTAAGGAATTAGAGTTGTCATGTCACAAAACCAAGTTTGTATGTGATATTGAGTCCATTTGGTCATCATTCACATTATTAGCGAGTACCATTTTAGGTTCGTGTCAAGTATTACAAATGTAGAAATTCCTCCAAGTTTATAAATTTTTCATAATACTCTTTTTTTGAATTTTCATTCAAAAAAAGTTTCAGATAAACAAACTGAAATTTACAAATTCATGTCAGTTTCGAATCGTGTCGTCATGTAAAAGTTGTCAAACCTCAAACATCTAATATCATTGCGTGTCATTACAATGAGGATAATTGAGGATAATTGTGTCATTAAATGTTATGGAAAGAGAAGCAGTTAGTTGATAAGCTAGATAATATTTTAATTGGTTTAGCAATTGTACTAGCTGACTTGACTTGACTATACGCACAAAGCTACAAAACGATCCAGGAAAATAATCAGAGATGGAAAAAAGACGAGTGAAATAATTAGCCAGACAGTGTTGGTAGATAAGAATTCAAGCATTCACACACTGAAGAAAGAAAAGGGCACATGGGAGGGGCAGCACAATGACCCCCTCTTTAAATGCTTTGCGTACAAAGTTCTGTTGATTTTTGTTGAGTTCAATTCTAGTGGGAGCGACAACACATTATACAATAGGCCCCTCAATTTACGCGTTTTACGTACCATCTTCTACTTTTCTATTTTCTTGTTGGGTCCATATTACAAACACTAGAGCTTCTTTTTTATTTTAAATTTTGTCTTATCAATCACCCAAAGTTTAGTGGGCATTCAGTTCAAACTTTTGACGAATTTTAATGATTTCAATGAAATTAAAAAATAGAGGTATCTAGTTTAGATTTTTAAGAGCATCTATAATGAGTTCTTTAAATTATATTTTAAGACAAATTTAAGAGAAGAATTGGAAAAATATAACTTAAATACCTCCTCCACCATCACCATCACCATCACCAACACCACAACCACCACCTCCACCTTCATCACCACCACTACCACCTCCACCTTCACCGCCATCGCCACCACCTCTTCCCTTGCATTCTAGAATATGCACAAGTTCATCCAGACATCAAGTGGAAGAAGCGTAGTTTTGTGAGAAAATGATTATCGAAAGCTTTGATTTCTCTATTGGTTCGGTTTTTATACTTAAACCAGGTTGGACCAGTTTTTATTCCCTTCAAACCGCTAAAAATCGGATTAGACTGAATATTTTTATTTTATTTTATTTTTTAAAAGATACATGTGTCAGCAGATTATTCGTCGAGTCTACACCATTCCATACTCCTTGCTACATATTGCATCTGGTCACAGTCATTTTGCAAAATTTAAGGGCTTTTCTTCGATATGAGGAAAAGAGTTGGAATAGTGTTAATAAACAAATTAAAATTAAAATTTGATTTATTAAAAAAGATAAAGTTAATTCCAATTTGTTGTTTGGTGCAAGAATGAGTAGGACGTTATTACTCAAAACCTAGCCAGTCCAATGCTTCAAGGCCCATTCTAACAAGTCCAAGCCAGCCCACCAAACGGGCCTCAGTCTCTCTCTCAACCGCTCTCGCTCGCCTCTGCCTCTCTCAGTCTCTCGTCTCTGCCTCTGTTCGTTCTTCCTCTCAGTCACTCTCTCTGTCACCCGCTCTCTCTCCTCAGTCACTCATTCTCTCTCTCACTGGCTCTCTCTTAGTCGCTCTCACACTCGTCTCCCTCAGCCGGTTTCGCTGTCTCTGTCTCTCTCTCAGCCACTATCGCTCTCTCTTAGTCATCAAAGGTCTCCCTCTCTCGATTTTTGTTGGTTTGAGGTATTAATATTTTGAGACCCTAATTCAAAATTTTGGGATTTTTGTTGATTTCTGTTAATTCTATTTATATATTCTGACTTTGTATGTATATTTGTTTTGGACAGAATTGATTTGAAGGCAAAGTTTTTCCAGATTGGCTTGCTGGCTGTGTTTATTGCTGGTATGGAATTGTTGATGTTTTATTTGCTATTTTTGCTGTATTTTTGTTATTTTTGGAAAGAATTGCATCATTCAATAACGTGATTTGGCAGATATTGAGTAATAATTTAATTTGTATGATTGGTTGCTGTTTGAATAGGAGCTGCATTACCATTGAAAATTGTTGCTGTTTTATTTGTTATTTTTGGTATGGAATTCATCGTTAGCATGTGTGGTATGATTCATTTTTTCTATTTGTGATACCACCACGTTGCATGATCTACTGACACTTTCTATGCCAATGCTTGTTGATTGTCACCATTATATTAGTTCTCACTTGTTGATTGTTATTGTGGAAACCCTAATTCAAACATTTAGGGATTTGACTCTGTTGTATTTATTTGTCTGACTGTGTTTATTTCTGGTAATTTAGGGATTCAAAAATTCTTGCTGGAATTGATTTTGAAGGCTAAGGAAAGGATTGGCTTGCTGGCTGTGTTTGTTTCTGGTAATTTTTCTATATTTTTTGTTGCTGTTTTTATTTGTTATTTTCGGTTGCTGTTGTATTTGTTATTTTCAGTTGCTGTTTTATTTTGTATTTTCGGTTGCTGTTTTATTTGTTATTTTCAGTTGCTGTTTTATTTTGTATTTTTGGTTGCTGTTTCATTTTGTATTTTTGGTTGCTGTTTGTTTTATTTGTAGTTTACAGAAAACCGTCTGAAAATTCATCATTAATATGGAATACCTCATGCCTAAATAAAATGCAGAGTACAGACAATATTTTCAGTTGTTTTATTTGTAGTTTACAGAAATTATTTATGTTAATGCTTATTGTTTTTTGTTATTGAAGCATGCAATATTTGTATTTTGGTTGCTGTTTTATTTGTAGTTTACAGAAATTATTGATGTTAATGCTTATTGTTTTTGGTTATTGAACAGTAATTGACTAACCAAACAGTAAAAGTAAAGCAATTGAAAACCAGTTAAATATTCAAGCGAAAGCAGAAAAAAAAAAAAAAAAAAAAAAAAAACAACCAAAAAAAAAAAAAAACACTTGTAGAAAATAAAAATAAAAAAACCTTCTACGTTTGTGGCCTCACGTGTGTGTGTGTGGGGGGGGGGGGGGGGGGGGGGGGGGGGGGGGGGGGGGGGGAGGGGTGGGCACCCAAAAAGCATAAAAAACGAGCATTATTCTTTTGCAATAACTTGGGGTTCAGGGTATGATATTGCATCAACATCTACTTCCATTAGTGTTGCTCCATACTTCACAAGAAATTATGTGTTAGAAGTAACTGAAAACAATCCAAGCCGAATTTCAGAAAAAATGACTCATTTGCCTTGCTGCTCTAGAGATGGTGCGTCACATTGTGAAACAAAAATAAATCGGCGAGTAAATGTATACAGACGGGAAAAAACGTGCAGCCCCGTTTTGTACAAGTTCTCCACAGAAAACGACATGTCGTTGGCATATGCATCCATCCATAAACCTTACATAGGACGCAAATAAGGAAGAGGTCCAAAACCTAAAGCTTCTTCCACAAACGCTCACGCTGTGTGTGTCTGTTTCTGCAAGCACCTGAGCTAGTTCCGAGTCGACATGGCCGATTTCCAGACCTCGACTCACCAAGCCAAGTGGATCTTCAAGCCTGAAGAACTGGTAATTTCACCTCCATATTGGCTTTGCTTTTTTTTATTTTTATGTTCAGTTAGGGCCTGTTTGGATGCTGAGGGAATGAAGGAAAATAGAGTTTCTTTTATCATTGTTACAGTTGTTTATAGTTTAACTAAACTAAAAAGTTTTGTTTTTTAATTAAATTGTATTTGTAATCTTCGTTATTAGGTGTTGTTGCCGCATGCTCTATTTGATTGCTCGGGGAAACAATGAATGTGGTTTCCAACTTATAAAATGGAGCAATTTAGATGAAATTAAAGGAAAAAGCGTTTTTTTTTTAAATTTTGTTTGTTTGTTTGTTTTGGTTTAAGGCTTATTTGAGATGGGACTTTAATGTTTGCAATACTTTAAAGTTGAATTGAAATTTCGTATGTGCTTATTAGTGTCATGTTATCTGATATAGGTCGGTAAATACAAGGCTGCTAATCAAAGAGCAATACAAACATTGGAGAAGGTGTGTACAGAGTCTTGCTTCATTAGTCATTGCAAGTTAGTTGTTCTTTAATTAAAACTAGTCATTAGTAACTTCATGCAAATTTGTTTTATTGTTGTTAGATCCTCTTTATGAACATCTCACCCCCTATGCTTTGTTTATATTTATTTGTTTTTTCTGGCATATTTATTCTTATGAGCTTATTTGCTGGAATGAGGAAATATTTACAGGTGCATCGAGTATACCTTCATAGATAATTTAAGGACTTGTTATCTAGCTATGCAGACTAGCTGATGATGTGTTAATTAGGGCAATGTCTCTAACTGGTTATTTAAGGTTAACTGTGTACCTTTTCTACTACTTCTTAGGTTTTTGTATTTTTTCCGTTTTGTCCCATAGGAAATGAGTTATTTTTTCTGAAATTCGGCTTGGATTGTTTTCAATTACTTCTAACAAATAATTTCTTGTGAAGTATGGAGCAACACTAATGGAAGTAGATGTTGATGGCACAATATCATAACCTGAACCTCAAGTTATTGCAAAAGATAATGGTAATGCTCTTTTGAGGTCCCACTCCCAATCACCCCCACACACACACACACACACACACACACACACACACGCACGTGAGGCACAAACATAGAAGGCTTTTTATTTTTATTTTTAATGTGTCTCACATGTTCTTGGTTAGTTATTTTTTTTTTCTGCTTCAGAATATTTAACTGGTTTTTAATTGCTTTACTTTTTGGTCTTTAAATACAGCTGACAAGCATTCTCGTCCAAAACCCATTAGCATTGAAGAGGAGCAGTTTATGCGGGTATTTTATGAAAATAAACTTCAAGAAGTGTGCAAAAACTTTCACTTCCCTCATAAAGTGCAGGTATGTGGCTTCCCATTTTGACAGAAGAAAAGAAGTGGTAATAGTTTAGGAAGCGTGAGAACTACAAAAAATTGATCAGTTTGAGCACTATCCTTGTCTAATTGGTTTCATTGCAGGCAACAGCTCTTATATATTTCAAAAGGTTTTATCTACAATGGTCGGTGATGCAACATCATCCAAAAAATATAATGTAAGGTTGGCTTATATCTATTTAATATATCTGTCAGTTGTCAATGCATATGTGATTCTATGTGAAATTTGATTCTTCTAGGTAGAAATTCACTAAGATGTTGAGACACTAGAAAATCAGGTCATTATTCTCATATTTATTTACCTAAGCTTATATGATTGCAACAATTCATTTCATCTACCTAATTGTTTGTGGATGTTTAAATTGAATTAATTGACTTGTTCACAGGTTAACCTGTATATATGAAGCTTGTAAAATAGAAGAAAACCACGTATTAGCAGAGGAGCTTGGTAAGGGGATCTCACAGGATCATCAAATGATACTCAATAATGAGATGATAGTTTATCAGGCATGGATGTGCCACACATTTCTTTGTTGTTTCTACTTCGTTTCTGTTTTATTTGTTTAATATAACACTATACCTTTATTGTGCAGAGTTTGGAATTTGATCTTATTGTTTATGCACCATATCGCTCAATTGAAGGTTTTATCGATGATATGGGGGTAAAAATTTCTGCACATCTTCCCTCCCCAACAAAATGCTCTACGAGGATGCTTTGACTTTACTATTTCCCACTCTTTTGGGATACTTATTAAAATTTATCTTGGTTTTCTCTAGTGCATCTTTAATATTTTATTTTCGTATGCATTTTAGTTTTTTTAAAGAAGTTCCTTGCGTGTACTTGGTGACAATTAGTGTTCATTTCTAGGAATTCTGTGGAATAAACGATGATCGACTCCAAATTCTGCAGGTAATTGTTTGGCGTTGTTTTAATTGTATATGGCTGAATAGTGTGTTCAGTTTCTGTTCTATTACATGGCATCTATTTGACTGAATCTTTAAGAGTCTTTCTTTGTTGAGTTAGCAATCATTTTAAATAACCAATAGCCAGTCACAAGCAATGTATCTTTCTGCATGATTTAATAATTTTAAACTATAAGTAATTCACTAAGGAAGTCTTTTAATTAAATGAATAATTCTGTTTCATTTGGTTCTTGTGTCAATATGTACATAACAAGAAAAAAAAATTCCAAGGAAGAACTGGTTTTCAATTGCTTCACTTCTGTCAAAGGAAGAACTCCGATAGCCCCACTTCCCTGCACATGAGCCAAATATCACTAATCAGCTTTGTGTGTAACGTTTTTCCTTGGGGTGCAATTTAATGGTTGCAAATTAAGAATTTCCCATTTAGTAGAAAATGTAGTTCTTTTGATGAGGGTAATCTGGCTTTTGATTAACCAGCTAAATATTTTTTTGATGGAATGATTTGTGGAAGTTGCTTCATGCTGCAAAGATGGAAGTGGATAAAATCATGCTTACGGATGCACCACTTCTATTCCCTCCTGGGCAGGTATGGTTTGCCATTCAAGCTTCTAGCCGTTCAAGCTCAGAATTTGGTCATTAACTTTAAATATCATACTTTGCCCATTTTAGGTTTGAGTATTAGGATTTGGTTGGAGAAGTGCTCGGGTTATAGGAGCAGCATCTAATGAATTTTATGAGGAAGAGAAGTTGGTCATTTAGGATATAGTGAGACAGAGCCCAACCAAAAGATAAGAAAAATAATATGGCCTATACACACACACACACACACATATATATATATATGTATCTCTCTCTCACACGCGCACACACACACACACACACACACACACACACACACACACACACACAGAGACAGATAATATATACATCATCTTTAACTTGCCCATCTTAATTTGATGCAGTTGGCATTGGCTGCTTTGCATAGTGCAAATCAGGTGCACTAAGTTGTTGACTTTGAGAGGTTCTGATTCAAACTTTAGGTTTCCTATCGTTTTTCTTTTTATTTTTCTTTTTCCTGCATAGTTGTACTTCCGCCTTCCTCCCAACTTCCCTATTGGCTTCTCAAGTAGAATTGTTTACATATTGACATTAAATTGTTGGGATGGGGAGAGGGGGTGTTTGTTGTTGGACAATACTAATAAAACTTCTTTCATGTGTGCCCATTTTCAGATACCTGAGGAGCATTCTCTCTCGTCAGAGTTCTGAACATACCGTTTCAGAGCTAGTTGAATTCCTTAATGCAATAGATTCTTGGGTATAAATTCGTTGCAATCCACATACAAGTGTGATGCAAACTCCATTGACTCTGTGATACAGCGCAAACATTTGTGAAAATTATATATCATAAAGCTAGATGATTAAGTTCAGGATTTTGAAAATTTTAATCTGATAACTTTTGGTTTCATTTTCCAATCTGCTTTTCTTCCTGGCTAATGTATATGCAGGCAAGAAAATACAAGTTTCCTTCAGACAAGGATCTCAAGCACATCAACCGAAAACTGAAATCTTGTTGGGGTCTTAGTTCACATGACGAGTATGCTATTCCTTATCTAGAAATAGTCACATTTAATCTGGTGCCCTTTTGTTTTGTATTAATGCCAAATTTTGACTGGTTTTCAGAAGTAAGAAGCGGGATAAGAAATCGAAGCACAAGTCGAAGAGGAGCTCAATGAAGTGCAACCTGTACCTTCTCATACTGAAATGTATGCCCTTTATGTATAAAATTCGCCGTCATATCTGGGTTTCTTGGCAATTTCTTGTTCTTGTCCCATAGGGGTTTGTGAGGGACATTTAGTTTTAAACACTGCAACTGGTGTCTAAACAGTTGGAGATACGCAAATTTAAATTGTCGTTGTACTGACACTCTTCATCTGGTTTCAGGTAAATTTATCTCGGTGTTTCCCTTGGAAGTTTCTTGTTTTGCTTCGGAAAGATACTCCAAGCAGTCATCCTGTACGATTATTGTAGAATAAGAGAATTTTACCTGTTCTTTAACTAATATATTCTTTCTCCTCTCTTTTCTATTTTTATTTTTATTGTTAAGTTGTCAAATCAGTCGACTTAAGATTTGAGTTTGAGTGTGGATGAAGAATTTTTCTGAGCCTTGACAATGATCTTGTGATTTAGTAGGAGGGGATTATTTTGACCTTGTATTTATTTTACAAATTTATAAATAAACTCAATCCTAGACATGTATTTATAAAAAAACCCAAGCACTATTTAAACATAGAAACACACCTAAAATCAACCACAAAGTCAACTTTTTGGGTGTGTTTATAAATGGGTTTTGAGTGTGTGTAATGATGGATTTTGGGTGTGTTTATAAAGTGTTTTGGGTGTTGGGTTTTTTTATAATTTCAACCTCCATTTTGGGTGTTTTAGTGAAACTCCCCTTTATAAACACCCTCAAAACCCATCATTACACACTCAAAATCCATTTATAAACACACCCAAAAAATATGCAATTGTTGATTTTGGGTGTGTTTCTATGTTTAAATAGTGCTTGGGTTTTTTTATAAATACATGTCTATGATTGAGTTTATTTATAAATTTGTATTATGTCTTCTTATCATTTCTAGTTTATTATTCGCGGAAAGGCAATAATGAGGGGATTGCAGGTCAGGTTAGGCCCTCTTTGTATCATAAGCCTTCAATAGGGTCTCTATCTTTCTAATTTTATTTTAGAAAATCAATTAACCCCAAAGAGAATAAAGGGAAAATCAATTAGTTCAATGGAATAAAAATAAAATCCCCCAAACAATATCAATAAATAAAATTATATATATACTAAAACTGAGTTCAGGAATTCACTGTTCCTAGACTGTAGCTTAGCAATAGTGAAGTGACGGTTTTGCCCTCACTTAGGAGATGGTCTGCTTCCTTGAGCTGACTTTTGAACAGTGAATTGGCCGTTATGCCCTCCAGCCCTGTTCTCTTTTCTTCGAACCTCTTCCCTTCATCGCAGCCCTCTCTCTCTCTCTCTCTCTGTCTCTTCTCTCTTCCTTTCTCTCATCAGCTGCGAACGTTTCGTTCGCTCAGAAAACCCAATTCCATCGTCTTTTTCTCACTGTGAGAACCGAAGATGTCAGTTTCAGCTGTGTTGGGGCCTCAATTGGTGGCTATGGGTGTGGCCGTGAAGAAGCCATCTGCGACGGCGTCGTTTGGGGTCCCAAAGACATCCCCATGGCGCGGCTCAGTTGGTGGAGGTACTTTTTATTGAAATCACTTGGGTTTCTGTGGAAACTCAAGGACATAAAGGAAAAAGTTTGTGTCTTTGTTCTATTATTATGTTTGGATTGAAAATTTGGTACCTTTGTTCTTTCATACATGTGCTTATGTTTACAATGAAAATTTCCTTTCATTGTTTTTTGGTTGTTGAAGGGTTTGAGTATGAGGAAAAAGGTGATTTTGCAACCTCAACAAAACATTTCAGGTAAGATCCATATCCTCGAAAATATAGTTCTTTTGTGATTTTGATTGTTTAAGGTGACTTTTGATTGCTTAGGCAGGTTTTGTTTTTAAAAAAATAAGATTAAATTGATGAATATTTCAATTGTTGGTTATATTTATTATTTGGTTTCTCTTTTGATCTTCCCTTTTTAATCGTTTTTGTTGATTGATATAGTGATTGTTTTTCTTTTTCTTTTTTATAATTGTTTTGGGTTGTGTTCGATTTATGCTCAAAAGAATTGCCCCCAGTAGAGAGATAAATTAGACAAATTTGGGGGAGAGATAGATTTGATGAACCAAGATAAAGATATTCTGTATAACTATGAACGGCATGTAAGACATAATTTAAGACCTGCATTTAGTGTAGGACATTATCAGAGAAACATTTCAAATATTAAGATTTCAAGAAGATTAAGAAGAAGAAAAAAGAGTAAAGATGATGATCCTTTATAGTTTTTATAATCTAATGAAGCATTGGAGTCACCTTCTTTCTTAATGTCAGTGCAGTTTTCTGACTGGTGGCTTTTCCCTAGCCTGTATTTCTGCACAAGAAAACAAAACAGTTTTACAGTTATGCTTTTCCATAATAGTCTGAAAAAAGACTGGATGTGATTAACCAAGAAAAGGGAGAAAAATGCCTGTGAGTGGCTCTTTAGGTGGTACAGAGTGAGTACATGAATTCCCGTCACCCTCATCAAACTCTTTAGTGTGACCTCTGCCCATATGTGAAACAAAGACATTAGAACTTTGTATAGAAATAGAAAGAAACTAAAAAGGGATTTGAAGAAGAATATCAATCAAGCTTATATACTCAACTGTCTGCCCCACCAAGCTGATTGACTGCTTCAACAAATCTTTGATGAAGTTCTGCAGTCCATTTTAGCCGGGCTTTGCATCAGTGGACAAAACCAAATTCATATTCTGATTTTGCATATTCTGCAGCAGACCCATTTTTGTATTGTGGATGAGAGAGAAAAGAAGGTAACATAAATGTTGGTTAGGAGCCTTAAAAGCTTTGATCCAATTTGTGGCGTTTGGAGTAGTTGGCCTGTCCTGTGTTCTCACTCCATATCTGGAAACATAAGTGGGGTTATGTTGGCGGAATATATGCCATGAGCTGTAGTTCCTCCTTTCCTTCCATCTCTCATTTCATACCAGCTTTAAAAATAATAATAATAATAATAATAATAATAATAATAATAATAATTTATTCTCTCACTTTGACTTGAAAGAGGTGGAGAGAATCTCTGATGCAGCAAAAACAGATAAAGCAACACAGTTCAATTTGAGTCTTAAAAGGAGAGGAGGAAAAGTGTATGGTTTGTTTTATCTTGCTGTTTTCCCACTCTCTCTCTCTCTCTCTCTCTCTCTGTCCAGAAATCCAAATTCAAAAGGGCACTCTGGGATTTTGTTGCTTGCAGAGTTTATTTTCTATGTTTTTCGTTTTGATTCATTGCAACTGAGGTATTCTAGCTATCTCAGCCTTTGATTGTTGCCTTTGATTGAACTGGTTGATGATTTTACTCTAGATTTGGATTGTTTGGAGTCTTTTTGTCATATTTTATTTTAAATTTAAAACTTTTGTTCTCCAAGCAAGGAATTGATTTTTAATACATGAGGTTGATAAACAAAACCTAAGGGTACATCTTCTCTCTCTCTCTCTCTCTCTCTGTAAAAGACTTATTTACAGTCTTTTCTCTCTCTCTAACCCAAAAGAGTACAGCTGGACCCATGGGCAGCACCAACTTCTGATTCTGTACTCTAATTTCTAATTATTAAGTTCTGTGTGTATGGAGTATAGATTGAAAAATTAAAAATTGAATGTAGAAGTGGATTTGATTCTCTTTCTCCAACCTTTAACATAGTTTAATGCACACTTTTAAATGTGTATTTGTGGGATTTTAATTTCAACTCATACTAGAGGACAAGAACCTTTAATGTTTGCTTTTGATGTTTTGTAGGTGGTGTTCTGCTGCTTTAGATAGAGCTGTTTGGTGGTTGTTTTTTGTTCTGTTAATTAAGAGGTGTGTTTCTATGTTGAAATTCCCATGTATTGTTTCGGTTTTGCATTTCATATTTGATTTTGAAGTCTATTGGTGTGTCAAAATAGCTAGGTTTAATGTATGCTAGGAATGTCTCATCGGTTAAGTATCAATAAAAATTTTGTTTTTGTTCTCAGTTACTGTTTATACCATGCTTGAATCCGAAGTATAAGATGTGATGATAATTGAAATGCCTAGAGACCAATCTTGCTTCTGATATTTTATTTTCAACTGATTTGCTTAGAAAAAATAGAGAACAAGTTTTATTTTTTGCAATCCCTGTTGATAAATGAGTAATTGTTGATGACCCTTCTTTTCTTTTTCTTTCTTTTGGCCTTTTTGGGTTGTTTCTGTGTTTTGTCTGTTTGGGACAGTGTCTTACTGCCAGACAAGAAGTCTTATAGAGGATGGAGTAGCATGTGCTAGCTCACAGCTTATATATATGCCCCATTATGTCAGAATTCAGTCATTTGTTTGCTTTGCATTATTTCTCTTTATTTTACTTCAGAATATTGGATTGTAAATGTGTTCCTGTTGTTATCTATATAGTAGCTCCTTTTTTTCTTCATTTCCTTTTGAAAATCATTGTTTATCGTAAATCATGTGCTTTTAGACCATTACCACAAACAGAATCTGTGTGTTTTTATTTTTCGCTCTTTTGATTGTTGCTTTATTTCATTTTTCGGTTTTTGCGTTTTTCTATAGGTGCTGTGTAACTGCTTTTTGGACTGCTTGATAGCTCTTCTCATTGTTGCTAGGCAACAGGTCAGTTTTCTATTCATCTGTTGAAGAGGTCATGCATATCAACTGTGGAAAATTGGTTTTTGGATATTGTGTCATTTGAAAATTGTTAATTTTGTGGTTGTGATATTTTGCTTATATCTGGGTTAAACTTAATATTGTTGATTGATTTGTTTGGAATAGGTATTTCATGAGGAAGCTGAAGAAGGTCAAGAAGAGCAATGGTCAAGTGCTTTCCATTAATGAGGTTTGTTCTCTTTGCCGTTTATACTTTATTTTTTTCTAATTAATAAATTTGTACCCATTTTGATTATTTGTCAGTGTCTAATGTAGTCAATGTTTTTTTGCGGTGGAGAAGTGGTTCCTTCTCAACTCTCCTCCTGGTGAAATCCAATTTGTTGCCAATGGTCTCCACCTTTGACCCCAAAGCGTCACTCTTTTATCACATTTATTTCGCTTTTTTCTAATTTTGTTTCGATCAGTTGAATCGTAATTTGTATTTGATGTTTGCCTTTGGTGGCAGATGTGAAGGAGGCTGCGTCAGAGGCATCCTCTCGAATATTATGAAAACCTATCAGCATATCCACACCTTCTTTTACACCTTATTTCTCTGCACATTCCTCTCAAAAACTTAAATGCTTTATGCTCCACCATAGCCTTTGGTAGTTTTCTCTTCTTTCACTTGGTTCCATTTTAAGTTTTAACTTTTTAAAAAAATCTTTATTCTAAATTTGTTACTTTAAATCCTTAATTTTAGGATTAGTTATGGTTTATTTTTATATCTTATAATGAATTGAGATGTGGACAATCTCCCTTTTTGTCCCTTCCCCTTCGACTCTCTTTTTGTCTTCATTGTTCTCATCGTTTCATCGTTTCATTGTTCTCATCTTTTCTTGCGTTCTAATCTCATCCTTCTTGAAAATTGCAACTTCCCCTTGGACTCTCTTTGGTCTTCATCGTTTTCATCGTCTCATCGTTCTCATCTCATCCTTCTTGAAAATTTCCTATTGAGAAGTAAAAATCGAAGCCAAGCAAGTAAAAATCGATAAGAGGGGTAAGCTTGCCTATGGAGAAAAAATGTTGGTTTAAAGGTTCTTTTGGTTTTCTAGGTTGGTTTATTCATTTGTCATGTTGAAAATTGAGAAGTAAATCAGAAATTGACTTTGGTTTGTTGTTATAGGGAGGAAGATCGAAAGAAAAAGAACTGGAGAAATCAATACAGGAACCCCCAGTCTGATGTCAATGGTATGAATCTCTCTCTCATTTTGGTTTTGTTTTTAGTTCACCAAATGGTTTTCATCTATTCTGATTTTTCTGATTTTTTTATATGAGATGTGCAGTTGTTGCGGCTCTTAATTCTTCAATTTTCTCCATCTTACTTGCTAAAGTTGAAAGTTCACATTAGTTTGGTTGTTTTTGGGTCTTCCTGCTAACTACTTAGAACATGCATTTTAAGTTCAATTTTTGTTGGCCTGGCATTTCCCTTTTTAAGAATCTATTTCATTTGTTTTAACTTTTCCCTTTATCCATTTTTTCCCCCTAATAATTGAACATATTTTTCATCTCTGGGTAGCATTCCTTTTTCTACTTTGTTGGTTAAGCCAACCCCATTGTAGTGAGTAGAAGGAGATTTACAGTTTCATATTTCAACAGTTTCATAAAGAAAGCATTTAGGTAACGTACAGACTATTATCCCTCTGTTGATTTCGTGGTCTGTTGTTGTTTTGTGTTTTTTTAATTTTAATTTTTTTTTTTTGTTTTCTTTTGATATATTTTGCAGGTTGGTCTTTCATTGCTTTGGATGAAGCGGTTTGGTTGGTGTTTTCAGTTCTATTAAGTAAGGGGTGAGTTTCTAGGCTGAAATTTCAATTAATTGTTTTAAGTTTTGTGAATAGAGCATAGGAATTAGCTAATGGCATCAATTGACAATTGGTTGGTGTTAATTTGTTGTTGTAATGATAGGTTTAATGATTACAATATTTGAACATGTTGGTAAACCCCTTGAGTATTTTGGCAATTGGGTAGTTGAGATGTTCCTTGCCTATTTTCATTGCTTTATACACATTTCACGCAATTTTAAAACCCGCAGCATCGCGCAGGCACTTTTGCTAGTGCGTTTCTAAAGTGACAAGAGGCCCGCCTGTTTATGGGTTTCACGTACAAAGTTGTTCCTTTTATTACTTTTGGTAGGACATTCATTAAACTACGGCCATTCCAACTTCCAGCTGATATCCAAGCCAGGTAAACAATTAATAATACATGTTCAATGAAGAAAATTACTTGGCTTAAAACAAGTAAGACGTCCCTAAGCCAGACAAGACAAGGCTTGCAACACTCCAATAAAATTATCTTACACGAGCAGATTCTAAAGTTAGATAAATGTTCCTAACCACTTGAGCTACAAATTCTTTGCTTAATAATCTCAGCATCTTGGGCATACAACAAACAAATCCCACACTTTTCCACATTGTAATCTGAACAGAATTCTTCGAAAACCTCATCTTCTTCGGAGTTAAACTCTTGTATGTAGTAGAATTCAAAAGAGGCCTCAGTAACAAGTTTGTAAAACGCAGTGGGTCTTTGAGCACCCTCTGCAACTTCAAAGATGCCATACCACCACACAAGCACCTCATGGGAATCTTCCAAAGTGCTTCCATGCGAACACGGATTATACAAAGAGAATGGTTGATTTCATGGCCTTCACCATCACTTGTTTTGAAGTTGTACCTGCACCCAAACTCCATTTCCCATTTAGCATCTTTGGTGTTCAATGCAATAACAAGAGATAGAGCGAAACCCAAGAAATCTGTGCTAAACCAATCAGGACGAAGCTCAATCTTTATTGAAGATCCCTCACTTTGATGGCTGAACCAATTTGGAATTTCATATCCCGAACATGTAATGAAAACTGAAGATCTTCCTGTACCATGGTTGGATATCATAGTTATTAAACTCGTTAAAAAAATAGTAGATGCTTCAACAGAGGGGAGTGAGACAGACAGAGTGTGTGCGTGAGCAAGAAAGAAAGAAAGAAAGAAAGAAAGAAAGAAAGAGAGAAAGAAAGAGATATAGAGACCTGAATCATATCCTCTCGATCAAATTCATCATCTGAATCAGTATCATTATAGGAATCATCTAAATCTTCTAAATAATGTGACGCTAATTCAATTTGTTATTCTTTAAACTTTGAAGACGCAGTTGCCATTCGCGTAATACTGAGCTGTGCATTAGCCATTATGTTGCTTTGTGAATTCTGATCCAACTTTGGGCAACTAGAAAGATTATGTATCTCATGACGCCCTGGAAAAAATATATATATTCGTCCCAACGTTGTGCGAGTGCAGTGCTTGAACTTGATGAGACTGTCTTCAGTGACGTGCAACCTTGTGCTTCAAGACGTTGCAGAAATGGGGGAAGCTCTGGTAAAGATTCTACGCTCTTGCAATCGATTAGGCGTAGGCGAGACAGCTGAGCAGCTTGTTTGATGCTTGCAGGTATGCTCTTAATCTTGGTCTCTCATATTTAAACCTTGTAATGAGGTTAAACAAACGAGGCCATCAGGGATTTCTAGTATACTGCACTTCCTGAGGTATAGTTCTTCCAAAGAAAGCAATCCGACTGAGTCTACTGAGACGGGAGGCAATTTCTTCAATTTCGAACAGCCATCAAAATTGAGAAATTTAAGAGTGCTTAAATTGTAGATGACGTTCGGGACAACCTCAAGCTTCTTGCACTCATGGAGATCTAATCCTTGAAGCCTAATTAGGTTTCCAATCGATGAGGGTAGCTCCTTAATTGATGTACATGATAAACTAAGAAGCTTCAGATGTTCCATAGGCTCCAAGACTTCTGGTAAGTACTGAAATTTAGAGCAAAAACTGAGATTCAGTCTCTCAAGAGATTTCAACTTGCAAATGTTTGTTGGCAGACTCACAAGGCCTTTGCAAGAGGACAGATTAATTTCAGTGAGATCAAAGAGGCACTCGATTGATGAGGGCAATACTTTTATTGCTGTCTCACTCAAATCTAGCACTCTTGTATACCTGGGAAGCTCTGAAAACTCGCGAAGAGATTGGCAGCCGTGCAGACTAAAAGTACCGGAGACATTCAGGTTACAACTGCTGCTTGGAAGCTTCTCAAGGTCTCTACAATAACTAATATTAAAGTCAGAAATTTTTTTGTGAGACCAAACTGCTGCTTGGAAAACTTAGAATGCCCGACACGTAGCCATCTCAGTTGAGACATCCTTTCGAAGTTTGCATGATTCAAGTTTAGCTTTTCAATCTTAGACCAGTTAAAGGATATGGCTGGAACAGTTGCAGTTATCTAATAATCGAGAGCAAAGTATAAAGGTGAATTAATTATAATATACAATATGAAATATCAGAATCCATCTCTATGATGAGTTTAGACATTCTAATATCAGCAGCAAGCTTCAAACCAAAAAGAAGGCCCCAAAGTTCAGCCTCCAGCACCTGGCCTATCCCTAAATTAATAACAAAACCATCATTCCACTCTCCCAGAGAATTTCAAAGGACCCCTCCAGCACCAATACATCCAGAAGCTGCCCGTCGAGACCGTCCACGTTGAGCTTGAAGGTACCATAAACAGGAGGGCTCCAAGCAAGAAAAACCTGTGTTTTCAGTGGCTTTAGTAGTGATAGTAGAAGCTTTAATCCAGTCTTGAACCACTGAGAAAATAACCATCCTGAGACAAAAAGGCAGCTCAATAACAGACTTTAGAAATGCTGTTTGTATGGATACTGTAAGATGTGACTTCTTTGTATTGATCATTGATGGCAGATATGGGCAATTGCAGACCAGAGGCAGACTGGTTTCCTTGGTCGGGCAGAGTTTAAAATGCACTTAGACATCATTGCGATGAGGATTGAGGATGATGAAGATACAAGAACGCCACTACAGACACCCCCATCAATTTTCCCTTTCATCATAATGTCCTCGTACCTTTTTGCATGACCGGCCACACAACCCAACTTTAAATGTTATGGAAGTGGAAATTGGTGTTGTTGATAGAAAAACGTGTTTCATTTAAGTAATGTCCTCGTACCTTTTTGTTGTTGATAGAAACATTTCCAACTTGAAGCAGAAATCCAATTGATGCAAAACAAATTTTTAATATCTAAATAAGTAAAGAAAAAAATACCAATTAGCTTGACCTTAAACAATTTAATACTTGAATTGAATGAAGAAAATTACTAAAAAGTATCCTCAGCCAAAAAGCTTGGCGATGGAGAGGAGGGCGAAGGGTTAAAACAAGAAAGACATCCCTAAGCCTAACAAAACTCAAAAGCATCCTCAGGCACAAGTCTTGCAAACAGCTCAAATAAAATGAAAATTTGAATTTAGGGATACCAGCTTGATCTACAAAGCCCTCTGCTTTATCATCTCAGCATCTTTGCCATACAACAGACATATCCCACACTTTTCCACCACCACCTCCACCTCCTCCTCCCAATAGGAATAATAATCCATTACGGTGAAGTCAACATTGACCTCAGTAACAAGTTTGTAAAACGCAGTGGGGCTTTGAGCTCCCTCTACTTCTTCTTCAAAGACATCACTATACCACCACACAAACACCTCATGTGAATCTCTGCTTTCAATATCCCCGTCTAGATCACACAAAGGATGGTTGACTTCATGGCTTTCACCATTACTAGTTTTGAAGTTGTACTTGCATCCAAGCCTGAAATACTGAAGAAAAGATGGATCAGAGCCTCTCTTGTTTGCAACAACAAGAGATTGAGCGAAACCCAAGAAATCTGTGCTAAACCAATCACGAGGAAGCTCAATCTTTATTGAACATCCCTCACTTTTATGGCTGAACCAATTTGGAATTTCATTCCCAGAACATCTAATGGCAACGGAAGATTCCTGGGATATGGACATCATAGCACATCCACTGGCAACGAAAGATTCCTGCACCATGGATATGGACATCATAGTTATTAAACTCGTGAATAAAAAGAGCAACTTCAACAAAAGTGAGTTAGACAGACCGAGAGAGAGAGAGAGAGAGAGAGAGAGAGAGAGAGAGAGAGACCCTCTCATTTTTGTCTTCTTTACACTTTGAAGATGCTGTTGCAGTAGCCATTCGCATAATTCTAAGCTGTGCATCAGCCAATATGTTGCTTCGTGCATTCTCATCCAACTTTGGGCAATTAGAAAATATATGTTTCACATGAAGCCCTTGATAAAATATATGTTCTTCCCAACCTTGTGTGATTACAGTGCTTGAACTGGACACTGTCTTCAGTGACGTGCAACCACCTGCTTCAAGATGTTGCAGCAATGTGGGGAGCTCTGGTAAAGATTCAAGGCTCTTGCAATTGATGAGGCACAAGTGAGACAGCTGAGCAGCTTGTTTGACGCTTGCAGGTAAGCTCTTAATTTCAGTGCTACTCAGATTTAACACTTGTAATGAGGTTAAGCGAAAGAGGTCATCAGGGACAACCTCGAGGTTCTTACAATGACTGAGATCTAATTTTCGAAGCGCAACTAGATTTCTAATTGATGGGGGTACCTCTTTAACCGCTGTATATGATAAATTTAGAAACTCCAGAAGTCCCATAGTCTCCAAGATTTCTGGGAAGTTTTGAAATTTGGAGCAATGACTGAGATCAAGGCACTCCAGATATTTCAACTTAACAATGTTCGTTGGGAGACTCACAAAGTTGTTGCAACCACCGAGAAGTAAATTTGGAAGCTCAACTAGATTTTCAATTGATGGGGGTAGCTCTTTAACTGCTGTACATGATAAATTTAGAAACTCCAGATGTTCCATAGCCTCCGAGATTTCTGGGAAGTATTGAAATTTGGAGCACGAACAGAGATCAATCCTCTTCAGAGTTTTCAACTTCCAAATGTTCGTTGGGAGACTCACAAGGTTGTTGCAATGACTGAGATCTAAATTTCGAAGCGCAACTAGATTTTCAATTGATGGGGGTAGCTCTTTAACCGCTGTATATGATAAATTTAGAACCTCCAGATGTTCCATAGCCTCCGAGATTTCTGGGAAGTACTGAAATTTGGAGCACGAACCGAGATCAATCCTCTTCAGAGTTTTCAACTTCCAAATGTTCGTTGGGAGACTCACAAGGTTGTTGCAATGACTGAGATCTAAATTTCGAAGCGCAACTAGATTTTCAATTGATGGGGGTAGCTCTTTAACCGCTGTATATGATAAATTTAGAACCTCCAGATGTTCCATAGCCTCCGAGATTTCTGGGAAGTACTGAAATTTGGAGCACGAACCGAGATCAATTCTCTTCAGAGATTTCAACTTCCAAATGTTCGTTGGGAGACTCACAAGGTTGTTGCAATCGTCCAGTTTCACTGTATTCTTGGGAAGCTCCCAAAACTCACAAAGAGATTCGCAGCTCATTAGACTAAAAGAACCCGAGAGTTTCAACTTACAAGTATTGCTTGGAAGACTCTTAAGGTGTTTACAATATGTAATATCTAAGTGAGATATTTTTTCGTGAGACCAAATTGATGAAGGCAATTCTTCTATTGCTGTCCAAGACAAATTTAAGAATTCAAGATACATGGCATCTCGGGAAGATTTTTGAGATTTATGCACCTCCCAAGGTGAAGATAACTAAGCTTGCCAAGATGTTGAAATACGAAGGAATTTCAACTAAACTTGTACATGCAGAGAGATTTATATGCTCAATTTTTCGACTCCGAGAGAGATTTGGAACTTCAGTTAGATGTCTGCAGTTATCAAGACTGATCCATTTTAAGCTCACAAGACTCTGTGAAATATTAAAACAGAATTAATAACTTAGCTTGCAAATTATTACTTTCTAGGCCACATGTTATACAAGAACTAAAATAAGCATATATAACATACCTGATCTTCATTCCATAATCGCCCCACAATTCGGCTGTGCCACAAACTAAGGCCAACAAGATTTTGAGCGGAAAATTTTGATGGCAAAGATTTCAAAGGATATGCACTCCAGTCAAGATATCTAAGAGAATTCGGCAGATCAAGAGAAAAAGTTAATGGATGATAATTACGGGCATATGCACGTAGCGATCTCAGTTGATACATCTTTTCGAAGTTTACATGTTCCAACTCCAAGTGTAGCCTTTTAATCTCAGACCAGTCAAGGTATACGGCTTGAACATCTCCATCTCTCTGACAATCAAGAGCAAAATATAAATGTAAATATAATATACAAAATTACACATTTGTAGGAATAATCTGACTTGTTTATTGTAAATGTGAATATTACTATGTACCTGGTTATTTGTCAATACTTGATAGACATCCTCTGCAATGAACAACCTGTTGCCTTGTTTTCGAGCAATTGCCCAACCCATTTCTTGCACCAAATCATGCATCTCTATCCGTGCTTCTAACTGCTCATTTACGCATTTCTTGGAATATGAAATTGATATGAGAGACCTATCAATAAGGTCATTGATTACCGCTTCCCCAAAGAAATCACAACTATCTAACATTCTTTCTACGTAATTCCTCTTACAGCCTTTATGAAAACATGCTATATCAAGAAATATCTCCTTCTCATTGTCATCTAATCCATCATAACTTACTCTCAACACTTTTTGGATTTCTCCGATTGGAACTCGTTTCACTTTTTTCCATTGAACTTCCCACTCTTGTTTGCTCTTGCAACGACGGAATGAGGACCCCATAACTTTAAGAGCTAATGGAATGCCCTTAATATAATCCACCACCTTTCTTGACAACTCAGGATGATCTGTTGTCGGAGACTTATTTCCAAAAGCATGCGAATGAAAGAGCTCAAGAGCTTCATCAGAACCTAATCCCTCAACATTATATATCTTTTCATGGTCAACTTTTTGCTCAAGTAGGCCTTTATCTCTAGCAGTTATAATGATTCGACTTCCTTGGCAAAACCGATCATCATCACCAACAAGATCTTCTAGTTGTTTTCGAGCATTCACATCATCAAGAACAATGAGCGCCTTTGTACGCCTGAGCCTATCTTGAATATGACGTGGTATAGACGGAGTTTTGATATTTACATCTTTATCCTTCAATAATTCACGAACAAGTGTAGTTCGCAAGTCATTTAGTCCATTCGTTTGTTCTGAGTTCTCCCTAACATTTGCAAGAAAACAAGCAGCTTCAAATTTAGAGGAGTGCCTGTGAAATACAGCATCAGCAAGGGTGGTCTTGCCAATACCACCCATGCCCCAAATACCTATACAGCAAAAACCTGGTGAATCAAAGCATAATAACGACTCAATTTCCTCAATTTTCTTTTCAATTCCAACCAGACCCTTTAAATCACTTGAGGAATCGTGATTCAATTTGGTCAAAACATGTTGAACAACTTTCTCAACAAAATCGGCCTCTGTCCTGGCAAATATCGTTATGAAAGACAAACAATAGTATGAGTACAGTATGAATCAAATAATAAAAAGTAGAAATTGATACAAATTAGAGAGTTAGTTACCCTGTTTTGCTGGAATAATGAAACCCAGACATATTGGCTGCTTCCTCCAAAGCAGCCCTCCAGTTGGCCACCTCATCCCTACTGCGCTTAAGTGGACGATCTTCAAGTGCATAAGTTCCCTGCTGTTTGCGTACATCTGATGGATCTATGCGATAAAAAATGGGTATAAACAATCTGTCCATAGCTTTTCTTGCATCCAAGTATATGCACAAGTTCTTTCAAACACCATGTGGAAGAAGCATAGTCTTTTGAGAAAATGACTAGTGCAATTTTCGATTTCTCGATTGCTTCTAGAAGGGTAGGTCCAATGTCGTCTCCTTTCTCAAGTCTGTTATCTATGTAGGTCTCAATGTTCTTCCGACGTAAAGCCGCATGAAGATGGCTGGTAAAATTATCGCGCGTGTCTTCACCTCTGAAACTAAGAAACACATCGTACTTTTCTTGAAGGGGAGCAGGAGAAGGAAGAGAAGAAGAAGAAGAATTCATATCCCTATCCAAAACCTGCAAACTTACAAGTCAAAACATGAATGCATATACATGTAGCTGGGCTAGCTCCTCCAAATAGGTATATATTTCAGAAACCAAAATTCAAATTAGCAGCAGCACAATTTCAAAAAACCCCAATCAAACTCAAGATTCATTCATAAACTCACCCATAAACAACAAATTTCATGCCCAAAATCGAAGAAATAAATTAATTAAGATAAACTTAGAAGAAAGAGAATCTGGTATTGCCAATTAAGCAAGAGAGAGAGAGAGATAGCTAGAAATAAGTTACCACAGCCAGCTTGAGAGAGTTGTAGCCTTTCTTGTTTAGGAAGAAAGAGAATTGAAAGCAGTTGCTTCCAGCTCGAAAACGATTCAGGAAAATAATCAGAGATGGAAAAAGAGGAGGAATAATTACTCAAGCACTGAAGAAAGAAAAGGGCATATGGGATAATGGGAGTGGCAGCACCAACTTTTGCTTTTGATCGTAGGAATTATTCTTTCTAGCTAAAGTGACAATAGGCCCCCCTGTGTATGCGTTTTACGTACGAAGTTGTTCCTTTTATTACTTTTGGTACAAGGCAGTATGAGGGAGAATTTGCCAAGAGACGAGACCATGTTGCGGAGAGACTAATTAATTGCTAAGTATAATTAAGAAGGATTTTTTTTTGGGTCAAAATAATTAAGAAGGATTAAGAGAGAGAGAGAGAGAGTTTCTGTACGCGTTCAAAGCAGAGAAGAAGGCATCAGATCAAACTAAAGAAAATTCAAAACCATTCAAACTCTGACTTTTATCAAAAAGGAACAAAAAAAATACGAAAGACAAATTGAAGGCAATTAAATTCACAGATACTCAACTCAAATACTTTTATTATACAAAGCCAAAACGGAAATAGACATTTCCCAAATCAATTTGGGAATGACAATTGTCCAACGAAATAACTAATAATTTTCTCGAAATATCCAACAAGAGAAGAAAATCTAGAGGATGCTCGATATTTCTAGACCATTTATTGAATGAAAATCACTAAGGGCCTGTTTGGTAACGCTTTCGGAGAGTGTTTTCTGAGAATATTTTCAGAGAATGAAAACAAGAAAACAAATTGCATTTTCAGGAAATGAAAATGCGTCTAGTAGATTAATTAGAAAACATCTTTAGAAAAACAATGAAAACGTGTCTGGTAGTACAATTGTTTTTCAGGTGTATTTTTGATAATTTCAGTTTTTTTTTAAATTTTGATATTTTTAGAGGCTAAATTATTATAAACAATAAAAAAATTTAAAGCTAAAAAACTATCTTATCTCCTTTTTTCCCCCTCCTTTTCTTCTTCTCTCTCCTTCCTCCTCTTTTCTTCTTCTTTTCCTTCGCATGGCTGTTTCTTTTCTCTCTTTTTCTTCCTCTTTTCTTCTTCCTTTCCTTCCCAGGCCACACCCATTCCTCCTTCCTTCCATGGCATGAATCCCATACACCCACCCATCTCTCTCTCTCTCTCTCTCTCTCTCTCTCTCTCTCTAGTTCCACTAATTAATGGTTGTGGTGGTTTGATTGGGTGATGATGGTGCTTGAGCTGGGTATGTGGTGGTTCTTCTTCATGTCTCTGTTTTTCTTTTCTTTTCTTCTTCCTCTGTAATTTTTTTTTCTTAGTTTGCAGATTTGTGTTATTTTGGGTTGAAGAAGATGGGTGTTGTTCTTGTTGGTGGGTTTATGGGTTGTCAGAAGCAAAGAAGAATTTTGGTTTTTGGTTTGATAGGAAGAGAAAATTGAGCGAGAGATTGAGTAGAAGCACAGTGTGTTTTGAGCGTTTGTTTTCTGGGAGAACAAAAACATCTTTTTTCTATTTTGTAGAAGTAATCGTGAAGTTAGTCTCATTTTATGAAAACATTTTCAATGTTTTTTGTTTTTGCCCACCGAACACGTTTTTGCTTTGTTTTTTGAAAATGAAAATGGGCCTCTAAAACGTAAACGAACGGGGCCTAACATTCTGAACCCAAGTGCCAAGAGCCAAATCTACTTGGTCCAAAAATAAATTACTTAATTATAAAATCACACATAAATAATAAAAGATATTTTAAAATTATCTAAATAAATAATAATAATATCTCATAAAATAACTAATTAAATGGTAAATATCTCTCTTGATCCATCTACCATCCTCCTGCATCATTACAAGAAAAGAAATTGTTGATTCCTTGTACAATATGAAAGGGTAGTTTAGTCATTCACTGAATCGAATCGCTAATGAAAAAGTTGAAAGAAACATAATAAAGTTTTAAAAAAATTTAATAAACCAACGAAAAATCGAAAAATGAAACCTCAAATTATGGAAATTTCCAAGCATTGGGCTTTGTCTCCCAAACTTCTTCGTCTCAATCATTGGGTTTTGTTTGGAAGTTAGACAGAAAATCCAAGTTGGATTCAAAGAACGGAAACCTTTGCTAATGGGTCGGGTCGGGTCCAATGACTGATGGTGAAAGGAGTTGTGAGACGTGGCAAAAAATCCTGGCTCACACCCATCTGCCAACAACCGACACAATCCGTCACCTTCATTCATCACTCCGAAACGACGGCGTATCACAGCTCATTCTCATGGTGCCGTACTTAAACTCCAGACCATCACCTTCTTCTTCATCTTCTTCATCTTCTTCTTCCATCTCCGCCAGTGCTGGTTTCCCAGTATAGAGATAGATTGAACAAGTGTACAAGGAAATCGGATTTGTTCCATGGTTGCAGCAATTTCCTCCGATTACTTTGCAAGTAAAGTATATTAGATTCTATTAGGCTTTTGGTTAACTTATCTGAGGCTTTTTGATTTACAAAACCAATGCCATAAATGTTGCAGCTGCTGATGTGAAAACATATTTGTTGACTGCTACTAGTGGAGGCTTAAACCAACAAAGAAGAGGGGTGAGTTTCTTGATTGAGCTGGAGCTGCATATTAATCCACTCGACTCCCATCTTAGTTTTCTTCCATTTGAGGCCTAACTTATCGTTCTAATAATATCTTCATTTAATGCTTAAAAGAAATTTAGTTTAAAGAGCATTGTGGTTATGCATTCAGATTCCAAATGGCTTCTTTATTAGACTAAACGTGGATTGTTATAAGTAGATCCTGTATAAGACTTGTTGATAGGACTTTGTAACTTTTTCATCCCATGAGTGATAAGACTGGTTTGTAATCATGCATGTTTTTTATGCTGATTCTCTTACAGATAACTGATGCTCTTGTTGCAGCTTATATCTTGAATGCTACTCTTTTTGTAGACTGGTTTATATCATCTCTGTCAAAAGATGTTGAAATCATTAAACAGCTTCCAACAAAAGGAGGAAAACCAATGAGTCCATATACCATGCGTGTCCCAAGGAAGTGCAATGCAAAATGCTACCAGAATCATTTAGTGCCTGTTCTTAATAAAAAATAAAAATAAAAGCATGTAAGTGTCTTTCAGGTGAACGTACCACACTTTTGTAAAGAATTCGTTAATTATCATATGCTGGTGCACATAACTGAGGAAAAAACTTCTGGTGCTTGAATGAGTGCCTTTTCAGGTTATGTAGAATTTACAGTTGTTTGTTATGCGTTCTAATGTGCAGGCTGTTCAGCTCACAAAGTTTGATTACAGGCTTTCAATAAGTTGGATTCAAATTTACAAAAGCTTAGGTGTAGAGCAAATTATCATGCCTTGAAGTTTACTGACCTTATTAATGAAATGGGGAAAACGTTGGTTGATAGAATGAGGATGAAAACCAAGCATTTCATTGCCCTGCATTCGAGGTAAATTGCAAATTTTTTTTAGCTGCTTGAGTATTTTTTCCTATTGTACATACTCATATACTATGAGCAAGTTATGCCTTCGACAGAATACTTGCTTGTGCAGATGATTTCTTTTCAGACTTAACGTGTGTTTTGTCTTGAAAAATGATTGAATTTTGTTTTCTTTAGCATGCTATATGTATGGGGGGGTTGTACAGCACAAAACCCTCTATTTAGGTTGCTTTGATAGGTGAAATAGGTTTTGTGCTAGAGTTTTCCAAATTCTTTTGGACTCCATGGGAAAAAGTTTCTGAAATTAGTAGACCATGTTATGGGTTTGAGCCTGATATGCTGGCATTTTCTGGATGTGATTTTGGTGGAGGAGAAAAAGAAAGGAAAGAACTTGGGAAAATTCGGAAAAGGTGGAAAACTTTACATGTAAGGCTTCACTGATGTCTTGAATGATGTCATTCAATAGTGACCTGCTTTATATAATTTGTATCTCTGCATTATAACTACATTTGATATTTGGGGTTATATTGCATGCAGGCAAGCAACCCTGACAAGGTACAAAGACATGGCAGATGCCCGCTGACTCCAGAGGAAGTTGTCCTTATGCTTAGAGCACTGGGTTTTGGAAGTGATATTCACTTGTATGTGGCATCGGGTGAAGTATACGGAGTTGAAGAGACGTTGGCACCACTGAAGAAACTTTTCCCGAACTACCACTCAAAAGAGACTATAGCAAGTAAAGAGGAGTTGACACCATTTTCATCCTTCTCTTCTCGAATGGCTGCACTTGACTTTATTGTTTGCGATGAAAGTGATGTTTTCATCACCAACAACAATGGCAATATGGCTAGAATGTTAGCTGGTCGAAGGTATTAAAACTCGAGTTCAAGGATACATTTCTGTCTTCTGGTGGAAGGGTTTGATTTGATCATGTTTTGGTTTATAACTAGTTTGTTTACTGATGCAGGAGATACTTTGGTCATAAACCAACAATCCGTCCAAATGCGAAGAAACTGTCTCTGTTGTTCATGAATCATAATAACATGACTTGGGAAGAATTTGCCTCGAAGCTTCAAACTAATCAAATTGGATTCATGGGAGAGCTGAATGTGATAAAGCCTGGCAGGGGTGAGTTCCATGAAAACCCAGCAGCCTGCATATGTAGTGCATCTGGCACAAAGTCCAGCGAAGTTCCAATTCCTCAAAATGAAAGTTTTAACATCCAGAACATATATAAGGAGGATGACTTGAAAAAGGACAGTGGTTACGTGACAGACGGGCAAATAACTGAGGATGAGCAGGATTGGTCTGGGATTGATTATACCGAAATGAATATAAATCGTTCTCAGGGTAAAGTGCTGCCTAGTGTAAGAGTTTCAGATCCAGGTCTTTTACTTAAACCTGACGAACCAGAACTCGAAGATTTCTTTTCAGACTAGACTGATTTAATTAGGAGAAGTCTAGACTGGATCTCCAGCTCCGTGAGTTAGCTGATTTGTCCAAACGAATTCATCACCAAAATTCTTTGCTGGTTTGTTTTGATAAGTTACTTGTGCGCACAAGATTGATTTTGTTACACTGAAGGGTAGTAATAACCAGGACGCACAATGTACATAGAAGGCCTCTGTAGCAGCAGCATCGGCATTGGAATAACATAATGGAGTCGTAATATAGTGATATTCAGATTTGAATCTTGTAAATGAAGCTACTGGTACATCTTTTGCTGTTTTTTGTTTTGTTTTTCTTTTTCTCTGATGATTCTTGCCGTAAGGGTGTTTATATAATCCTTGCTCTTCTTTTGTACCTTTAAGTACGTGTTCTATGATAGGCATTGAACCCAACAATGGCCCTGCTTTCTTCATCTCCCTCCAAAATTTTAATATTTTGTAATTGCTTTATGTTGATGTTGATAGAAAAACGTATTTCAATTAAATGCAAACTGAAGCAAGGTACCAATTTCCCGTTTATGATTAAGAATGAAGCCATTCAACAATTTAATACTTGAATTCAATGAAGAATATATTACATGGCTTATGTGGGCAGTGACAACTAAACTGAAAAGCATCCTCAGCCAAAAAGCTTTGCGATGGAGAGGAAGGCGAAGGGTTAAAACAAGAAAGACATCCCTAAGCCTAACAAACTCAAAAGCATCCTCAGCCACAAGTCTTGCAAACAGCTCAAATGAAATGAAATTTTGAATTTAGGGATATCGGCTTGATCTACAAAGCCCTCTGCTTTATCATCTCGACATCTTTGCCATACAACAGACATATCCCACACTTTTCCACCTCAATAAGGGTTTCCTTGATAGGATTCCGTACGGTGAAGTCAACATTGACTTCAGTAACAAGTTTGTAAAACGCAGTGGGTCTTTGAGCGCCTTCTACAACTTCTTCAAGGACATTTTATAACACCACACAAACACCTCATCACAAGGAAATGATTCGCTTGCAAAGACATTTTTCGAGTACAGACTAAAAGGACCTGTAGCAGCAGCAACAACAAGAGATAGAGCGAAACCCAAGAAATCTGTGCTAAACCAATCACGAGGAAGCTCAATCTTTATTGAACATCCCTCACTTTTATGGCTGAACCATTTTGGAATTTCATTCCCAGGACATCTAATGCCAACGGAAGATACCTGTACCATGGACATGGACATCATAGTTATTAAACTCGTGAAACAAAAAGAGCAACTTCTTCAACCGGAGAGAGAGAGAGAGAGAGAGAGAGAGAGAGAGAGACCCCAGAAAAACCTTATGAATCATATGAGAATGCTTCTTGATCACACTTTGACGACGCAGTTGCCATTCGCATAATTTTGAGCTGTGCATCACCCATTATGTTGCTTCGTGCATTCTCATCCAACCTTCTGCAATTAGAAAATATATGTTTCTCAGGAAGCCATCGAGAAAATTTATATTTTTCCCAACCTTGTGCGATTGCATAGCTTGAACTTGACACTATCTTCAGTGACGTGCAACCTCATGCGTCAAGACATTGAAGCAATGGGGGGAGCTCTGGTAAAGATTCAAGGCTCTTGCAACTATTGAGGAACAGGCGAGACAACTGAGCAGCTTGTTTGATGCTTGCAGGTAAGCTCTTAATTTCGGTCCCCCTCAAATTTAACACTTGTAATGAGGTTAAGCAAAAGAGCTCATCGGGGACAACCTCAAGGTTCTTGCAGTTGTGGAGATCTAATTCTCGAAGCGCAACTAGATTTCTAATTGATGGGGGTAGCTCTTTAACCGCTGTACCTGATAAATTTAGAAACTCCAGATGTTTCATAGGCTCTAAGATTTCTGGGAAGTACAATTTGGAGCACCCACTGAGATCAATACTCTCCAGACATTTCTTGTTTGTTAGCAATTCTTTCATATGTTTCCTTTGAAGCCCTTGAGAAAAATTATGTTCTTCCCGAGCAATTGTCTTTAGTGATGGGGGGAGCTCTGGTAAAGATTCAAGGCTCTCGCAACCATAGAGGAACAGGAGAGACAACTGAGCAGCTTGTTTGATGCTTGCAGGTAAGCTCTTAATTTCGGTCCAACTCAAATTTAACACTTGTAATGAGGTTAAGCAAAAGAGCTCATCGGGGACAACCTCAAGGTTCTTGCAGTTGTGGAGATCTAATTCTCGAAGCACAACTAGATTTCCAATTGATGGGGGTAGCTCTTTAACCGATGTACCTGATAAATTTAGAAACTCCAGATGTTTCATAGGCTCTAAGCCCTGGAGAAAATCTACATTCGTCCCGACCAATTACCTTCAGTGATGGGGGGAGCTCTGGTAAAGATTCAAGGCTCTTGCAACTATCGAGGAACAGGAGAGACAACTGAGCAGCTTGTTTGATGCTTGCAGGTAAGCTCTTAATTTCGGTCCCGCTCAAATTTAACACTTGTAATGAGGTTAAGCAAAAGAGCTCATCAGGGACAACCTCAAGGTTCTTGCAGTTGTGGAGATCTAATTCTCGAAGCGCAACTAGATTTCCAATTGATGGGGGTAGCTCTTTAACTGCTGTACCTGATAAATTTAGAAACTCTAGACATTCCATAACCTCCGAGATTTCTAGGAAGTACAATTTGGGGCACCCACTGAGATCAATACTCTCCAGACATTTCTTGTTCGTTGGCAATTCTTTCATATGTTTCCTTTGAAGCCCTGGATAAAATCTAATTCGTCCTGACCAATTGCCTTTAGTGATGGGGGGAGCTCTGGTAAAGATTCAAGGCTCTTGCAACTATTGAGGAACAGGCGAGACAACTGAGCAGCTTGTTTGATGCTTGCAGGTAAGCTCTTAATTTCTGTCCCGCTCAAATCTAACACTTGTAATGAGGTTAAGCAAAAGAGCTCATCGGGGACAACCTCAAGGTTCTTGCAGTTGTGGAGATCTAATTCTCGAAGCACAACTAGATTTCCAATTGATGTGGGTAGCTCTTTAACTGCTGTATCTGATAAATTTAGAAACTCCAGATGTTTCATATGCTCTAAGATTTCTGGGAAGTACAATTTGGAGCACCCACTGAGATCAATACTGTCCAGACATTTCTTGTTCGTTGGCAATTCTTTCAGATGAGGCCGTCGAGGAAATATACGTTCTTCCAGAGCAATTGTCTTTAGTGATGGGGGGAGCTCTGGTAAAGATTCAAGGCTCTTGCAACCATTGAGGAACAGGAGAGACAACTGAGCAGCTTGTTTGATGCTTGCAGGTAAGCTCTTAACTTCGGTCCAACTCAAATTTAACACTTGTAATGAGGTTAAGCAAAAGAGCTCATCAGGGACAACCTCAAGGTTCTTGCAGTTGTGGAGATATAATTCTCGAAGCGCAACTAGATTTCTAATTGATGGGGTTATCTTTTTAACCAGTGTACCTGATAAATTTAGAAACTCTAGATATTCCATAACCTCCGAGACTTCTGGGAAGTTTTGAAAGTTATAACAATTCTCGAGATCAAGGCTCTTCAGAGATTTCAACTTCCAAATGTTCGTTGGGAGACTCACAAGACTTTTGCAATTGATTAGTTTAATTGCAGTGAGACCAACGGCAAACTCTATTGATGAAGGCAATTCCTCTATTGCTGTGTGAGATAAAAGTAAGACTTCAAGATTGCATGGCATCTCGGGAAGATTTTTGAGATTTTTGCATTCCCCAAGGTCAAGATAAGTAAGCTTACCAAGATGTTGAAAATACGAAGGAATTTCAACCAAACTTTGACAGCTATTCAGATCTATATGTTCAATTTGTTCACTCTGAGAGAGATTTGGGACTTCAGTTAGATGAAAGCAGGAACGAAGACTGATCCGTTTTAAATTCTTTGGACTCTGTAACAAATTAAACAATAATTAATAACTTAGCTTGCAGATTATTACTTTCTAGGCCACATGTTATACAAGAACTAAAATAAGCATATATAATATACCTGGTCTTCATTCCAAAGTTGCCCCTCAACTTGGCTGCACGGCATTTCAAGGACAACAAGATTTTGAGCAGAAAATTTTGATGGCAAAGATTTCAAAGGATATTTGTACCAGTCAAGATATCTAAGAGAATTGGGAAGACCTAGAGAACCAATTAATGAAGTTGCGAGGTGCCCAAAAGAATTGACACGTAGCAATCTCAATCCCCGCATCTTTTCGAAGTTTGCATATTCCATCTCAAGCCAATCAATGGATATGGCTTGAACATGTCCATCGCTCTGACAATCAAGAGCAACAATATAAATGTAAAATATAATATACAAAAAAAGTATAATCAAAATTGCATTTGTAGGAATAATCTGACTTGTTTATTGAAAATGTGAATAATTAAACTACCTGGTTATTTGCCAATAATTGATTGACATCCTTTGCCATGAGTAACCTACTGCCTTCTTCTTGAGCAATTGCCTTACCCATTTCTTCCACCAAATCATGCATCTCTAGCCGTTCCTCGCCATAGGAATATGAAATTGATATGAGAGACCTATCAATAAGATCATTGATTCCCACTTCCACAAAGAAACCACGAATGTCTAATAATTCTTTTACATCATTCCTCTCATAGCCTTTACAAAAACATGCTATATCAAGAAATATCTCCTTCTCATTGTTTTCTAATCCATCATAACTTATTCTCAACACTTTCTCGATTTCTTTGCTTGGAAATTGTTTCAATTTTTTCCATTGATCTTCCCACTCTTGTTTGCTCTTGCAACGATGGAGTAAGGAGCCCATAACTTTAAGAGCTAATGGAATGCCCTGAATATACTCTACCACCTCTCTTGACAACTCACTATAATCTGTTGTTGGAGGCTTTGCATGCGAATAAAAGAGCCGAAGAGCGTCATCAGAACCTAATCCCTCAACGTTGAATATGTTCGCCTGGTCAACTTTTTGCTCAAGTAGGCCTTTATCTCTAGCAGTTATAATGATTCGACTTCCTTGGCAAAACCGATCATCATCACCAACAAGAACTTCTAGTTGTTCTCGAGCATTCACATCATCAAGAACAATGAGCGCCTTTGTACGCCTGAGCCTATCTCGAATAGAAGTTGATCCTATAGACAGAGTGCCGATGTTTATATCTTTGTCCTTTAATATCTCACGAACAAGTTCATTTAGCAACTGATTTAATCCACCCGTTTGTTCTGATTTCTCCCTAACATTTGCAAGAAAACAAGCAGCTTCAAATTTAGAGGCAAGCCTGTTAAATACAGCAGTAGCAAGGGTGGTCTTGCCAATACCACCCATGCCCCAAATACCTACACAGCAAACACCTGGTGAATCCAAGCATAATAACGATTCGATTTGCTCAATTTTCTTTTCAATTCCAAACAAGCCCTTTAAATCACTTGACGATTCGCGATTCAACTTGGTCCAAATATCTTCGACAACTTTCTTAACTAAATCGGCCTCAGACCTGGCATATATAAATATCAAGGACAAACAAACAAATGGTTAGTAAGTATGCCTGCGTAATCAAATAGTCACAAGGACAAATCAAAATATAAGATACAAAATTAATTACTCTGTTTTTTCTGAATCATCAAAACCAGATAGATTGGCTGCTTGCGTCAAAGCATCCCTCCACTTGTGCACCTTGGCAATACTGTCCCTGAAACGTTTTTCAAGTTGACGAAAAGCGAGCGCATAACTCCCCTGTTGTTTCCGTACATCTGATGGACTGATGTCGTAAAAAATGGGTACAACCAACTGGTCTTTTTTTTCTTTGCATTCTAGAATATGCACAAGTTCATCTAGACACCAAGTGGAAGAAGCATAGTTTTTTGAGAAAATGATTACCGAAATCGTAGATCTCTCGATTGCTTCGAGGAGGGCAGGTGCAATTTCATCTCCTCTCACAAGCCTGTAATCTATGTAGGTTTCGATTTTCTTCCTACATAAAGCATCATAAAGATGGCTGGTAAAAGTAAGACGGGTGTCCTCTCCTCTGAAGCTAATAAACACATCATACTTTTCTTGAGGAGGGGGGATATCAGTATCAGCAGCAGCAGCAGAAGAAGATGAAGAACTAGAAGAAGAAGAAGATGTTGATGATCTGAAGTACATGTAGAACAGAGTCATGATAAGTATGATGATTATGATGAAAACTTGAAAGAACTCAATGGATTCCATCTCTGTTTCTCTGAATGCACCAGGGGCTATAATTAAAGCAAATCTGATATTTGAGATGAAAACTTGAAGAAGAAAGATAATCTGATGGGTTTAATTAAGCAGTCTGGAAAGAAAGAGAATAGAAAGCAGTTGCTTTACCAATCCCTTCAATCCTATCAAACGTATCAATTCTAGATCTGGAAAAAAATCTCTCTCTGCTAGTCCCCAACCCTTCAGCGCCGCTCTTGGGGGGGAGGTGGTCTGCCCCTCCTCCCCTCCCCTCCTCTTCCTCCTGTTTTCCCCTTTTCTCTTTTCCCTCCTCTTCCTTTCTCTCTGTTTATATTTCCTTGTTTCCTCTTCACCCTCCGTGGTGATTTTGCCTCACCCCCCGTGGTGATTTTGCTCACCCTCTGTGGTTCCCACCCAGAATGGGTGTTTTTCCCCTGAGCTCTGTCTCAGATCTGGGGTTTCTTGCCTCCACTTCGGTTTCCTTTAGTATTTTTCTGTTCTTCCTCAAGTTAACCCTACCCTGTGAGACCCTTTATCTCCCATCTATCCATCTCCTTTCTTCCCCAGCCACCTTCACTTTTCACCCTCCACTTCTTACATCCGCACTCTCCTCATCTCTTCTATGTAGTGATGCCGTTCATACATGGCCAGCAATTTCATCTGGGCGCCAGTTCTCAGCTACCACCGTTTGCCTCTCAGTTCCTCATCCACCGCTCCCGTTGTTCTTCCTCGGTGGTGTGTGGTGGTTCGTGGCTGCGATTAAAGTGCATCATGCACTTAACACTTGGATTATGGGAGCGCTTCCGCGCGGGTGGCCTGCTCACCCCCATCTTCCGTTGGCCTCTTTGATACCCCCTGGTGTCGGTTACTCCTCCTTGGTGGTGGCAGATCTGTTCCTGGTGGTGTTGTCGGCATGCTATGTGTGGCTGCTCCTGTGTTCTAGATCTAGGGTTTCTTTGTTTAATATTTTATGGGTTTCTGCTGTTTATTTGCTTTTCTATCCTTGGGCCTGTTTTATTTGTTGGTATTGGGCTGCATTGGAAATGAGTTTCCTCAATTTGTAATGCTTTCCACTATTAATGAATAGTATTCCCAAACAAAAAAAAAAAAAAAAAAAGAAGCTTTACAAAACAATTGCTACAAAGAACGATCCAGGAAAAAAGACAAGTGAAATAATTAGGCAAGCACTGTCGGTGGACAAAAATTCAAGCATTCATATACTGAAGAAAGGAAAGGGCACATGGGAGTGGCAAACGATCAATAGAGATTAAAAGATAAAAAGTAAAGTGAAGGAGATTTGACCAAGAACTTTCGTGCGTTCAAACCAAGAAATAAAGCATCCTAAGAGCAACTCCACCCATATTGCCCTTAGCCATGGCAAGGGGGAGCTAGGGCAGCCACTATTCACGTGAATAGTGGTTGCCCTTGCAAAATCAGAATTTTGTGTTTCCACCCATTGCCCTAGCTAAGGGCAGTTACTATTCATTTTTTTGTTTTATTCACAATTTTATTTACCTTAATAATTAATGTGGATAATATTTTCGGATAAGATTTACGGGTTCCTACGTGTCAAGACTATTCATAATCAGATAAAATTTCGGGATAAGATTTTTTGGTTCAAATTTCGGATGAATTTCAAAATTCAAATTTCAGATAAATTTTTGGGTTCAAATTTCGAATGAATTTCAAAATTCAAATTTCGGATGAATTTCAAAAAGCAAATTTCAGATACATTTGGGTTCAATTTCGGATGAATTTCAAAATTCAAATTTCAGATAAAGAACCAAGGTCGCCGCCGTTGTTCACAAGTCGGCCGTCGCCGGAATGTGGACAGACATAGGCATTCTCGGGGTAAGAATCTTTTGGAAGATTATTTTATCCCAACTGCTTTGTACAATGATGTTGATTTTCGAAGGCGATTTAGAATGCAACCCCACTTGTTCAATAAAATCATGCATGATATTTGCAATTATGATGCATATTTTGTTCAAGGGACAATGACAAACTCGGAGCCAAACCTCACACAAAGAAACATCTTCCATGGTGCTCCACGCCCCTCCGGTTTCAATAGAAGAAGCCATAAAAATAATAACTAAAATTACAAGGTGAAAGAGATGAAAATGTTGAGTGAAGAGTGAAAAATATGTTGAGTAATTGTAGAAGTAGAATAAAATGTATGAGAATTGGTGTTGAAAGTGAAGGGTATTTATAGGTATTTATAGGAAAAAAAATCAGAATTTTTTAGTATTTTTTTAAAAAAAATTTCGATTTTTTTTCATAATTTTATTGTCCAAAAATCGCCAGCCGTTGGATTAAAATTTGGAATCAAATCGGAGCGCTGGGGGACTGCCAGGTGGCTTCCACCCGTTGTGGCTGGCGTCGCGCTGACGTTAGCGCACGCGGGTTCAAATTTTTTTAACGTTGGCGCGTGCATTGCACGCGCCAACGGTAAAAAAAAATTGAAAACCGCGTGACGACGTCAGCGTGACGTCGTCGTGACGTCACCCCCCCCGCGTTTTGGACCTGGGGCGAAAGTTGCCTTCGGGCTAGCCCGGGTAGGTGGGTCCCACACCCCCCCCGGGCCTGGGCTTCGCCGCTGGAACCATTTTTTTGGCTTTTTCCCCCCTCCCCTCGGGCTGGGCTGCATGGTTGGAATAGCTCTAATGCAGGGGAATTTCCTAGTGATGGGACTTCTTCTAGTCATTTCACCGTCCACTATTTAGTATTATATAAAAAGAAAGATAAAAAAGACTCAAGTTTAGATTAAATCACTTTGTTAATATGGTGATAATCTTCATCACTCATTCAAAACTAGTGAATTAAAACTGACTTTCTTAACGCAAACAAGTTTCCTAGGGATTTTCTTAACGCAAAGAACTTCTCCTTCTCTCTCTCTCTCTCTCAACCAAGTCCGTCGTCTCCCACATTGGGCTTTAGCTTGAACCGGCCTAGTAACCTTTGCCTATGGGCCGTCGGGTCGGATCGAGTCCACCAAAAGTTGTGACACGTCGTAGAAAATCCTAATCCACTTTGGAGAAGGACGTGGCACCATTGGGATCCATTGCTCCTTCTCTCTCTGTAGAAGAAACGAGTCTGCCAGTCGGCCACAGAGAGACAGAGAGAGGTTCAAAAATATGGCAGCAATGGCTTGGAGGCTTCCCACCCAGCTGGCAACACCCGGCAAACTCCATCATCATAATGACTCCAAAACGGCGGGGTATCAGAGCTCATTCTCATGGTGCCGTACTTTAGCTCCCGACCATCTCCTTCCTTCATCATCATCTTCTTCTTCTTCCTTCTCCACCAGTATAGGTTCGTCATCTTCGTACTTCTACTGGGCAAGCTTTAATTTTTGCCGCTCTTTTTACAAAATTGAAAAGAACCCATTTTTTATTTTGTGTGTGCAGGGACTAATACGCGGCGTTTAGTGAGATGTACGGCCAGGGCAGGGGTTGGGGCTGTGAATCTTGCTCCAGGGACACCTGTGAGGCCAACCAGTATTCTAGTGGTTGGTGCCACTGGGACTTTGGGTAGGCAGATTGTGAGAAGAGCATTAGATGAAGGCTATGATGTTAGGTGCCTAGTTAGGCCTAGACCAGCCCCTGCTGACTTCCTCAGAGATTGGGGTGCTACTGTTGTCAATGTAAATACAACTTCCCTTCAATTCTAAATTTTCACTCTAATTCTTGTTTATGGTTTAAGTTCTATTTGGGTTCTTGGTTTTTCTTACTATCAGAGATATTGGTTTGACAATTGGTTTTGCTTCTTTGAAATTCAAGTACTTTGATGCTGAATGTGTTATGTAAAATTGTGATGAACAGGCAGACCTTAGCAAACCAGAGACCATACCTGCAACTTTGGTTGGTATTCATACTGTCATTGATTGTGCCACTGGCCGTCCGGAGGAGCCCATCAAAACGGTAAGTTTCTACAGTTAATTGTTTCTTTGCTTATCCATAGAAACTGATTAAATCAGCCTAGAAATTAATTCCCAACTGTAGATCATCTTTTGAGGCTACCATTGGTCATAGGATGAGCAGTTAGTTCATTACATTCGATCAAAGGATGTCATTATCTACTGCTCCTTTCCTACTTGCTTTACAGTGTTGTGACATTGTCATATGGACTTGCTTCTGTTTTTTTTACTTTCAGCAATAAGTTGTGTTTTTGTTTTTATCCTTATTCAATGAAGAAACTGAAAAAGAAAATTGAAAAAGGTGTAACCGTTCAATAAATGGTCCATTTCAAGGTCCTCGGCGATTATGAGGGCTATTTTATCCATTGCAGAAAATATTATCAGACTTAATAACGTGTCCAGTATTTTTATTCTTCTCTGACCATTTTTTATGTTTAGGTAGATTGGGAAGGAAAAGTTGCTCTTATACAGTGTGCAAAAGCAATGGGAATCCAAAAATTTGTATTCTATTCCATCCACAACTGTGACAAGCATCCCGAAGTTCCCCTTATGGAGATCAAGTATTGCACTGAAAAGTTTCTCCAGGATTCAGGCCTAAATCACGTTATAATTCGTTTATGTGGATTTATGCAAGTAAGTGTCACTCAGACAAACTGAAACTTGGACTTCCTCTTTTACGATCTTGCTACTGGCATAACCAAGTTTGTGCTTCACCTGTCGGCTTAATGTTTCAAATCAATTTCCTTATCTTCTTATTACTCTCATATGATACTCCTCCAACCCCCATTCACTTTCTTTATCAGAAAGAACAGTTAATTTAGATAGAGTGATAACAAGTAGCAATATCATTCAATTACTTGACAGACACAGGCATGCATACATGCATACAAGCACACGCACCCTGAAACGGTATATGTATATACATGGAGAATTGTCCATATGCTCTGAAGATAATCTAGCCAAGGACATGATTTCATAAAAACAATCATAATCATGTACGCTATTGTCCCATATTTATGGTTTCTTGTGTTCGGTTGGGAATATCTGGATGTTAATACTAAGTGCAAAAGTTTATCTTTTCTTTTTCACTTCTCAGGGGATTATTGGGCAGTATGCGGTACCTATATTAGAAGAGAAATCAGTTTGGGGAACAGATGCCCCCACAAGAATTGCGTACATGGACACTCAGGTTGATTATATGCTAGATTGTTTCCCTGATGATTGAATACACATGGTGTCTGAATGCATTCATTTTGTATTAGGATGTAGCTCGCCTGACCTTTGTAGCTTTAAGAAATGAGAAAGTCAATGGGAAGCTTCTCACATTTGCTGGCCCTCGAGCATGGACAACCCAAGAGGTGAGTAAGAATATTAGCACCATCAGACCACTTATTGTTCTTTCCTCCTATAATTTGTACGGTATATAATTGTTCTTTCCTCCCATTATTACCAAATTGACCAAAGATTACGTATCAATCCCAAACTTGGGTTAAATATAAATGAGTGTTGCTAAACGAACCCTAAAATTAACTGAGTACACCGTATGATCACCTATTTATATTAGCAGCACTCATTTATATTCTTAAGAAATAGAGAATAGAAGATAATTTTTAAAGCTATTTCTATGAAACAAGGTGCAGGGTTTTCTTAAAGTGCCTTTTGCTTTTAGGTAATAACATTGTGTGAAAGGTTTGCGGGGCAAGAGGCAAATGTAACTACAGTCCCAGTCTCTGTCTTGAGAGTAACCCGTCAGCTGACTAGGCTTTTTGAGTGGACAAATGATGTTGCTGATAGATTGGCATTTTCAGAGGTAAGTTCTTATGTTTTGCCTTTTGACACTTATTTATGCGAAAGCAAGTTGTTTTATTCTTGATGGCATTTGCACTGCAGTTTTGTAATTGTTGGTTTGCAACATTTGGAGCCTGAATAGAATCTCTTTGGAATTTGTAGGTTCTTTCAAGTGATACTGTTTTCTCTGTTCCAATGAACGAGACATTTAGTCTTCTTGGTGTTGACGGAAAAGACATAGTCACACTCGAGAAATATCTGCAGGACTACTTCACCAACATTTTGAAGAAGTTGAAAGATCTCAAAGCACAATCTAAGCAATCTGACATTTACTTTTGAAAAAGGAGCATTGTATAATTGTAAATGAAGCCATGTATGTATCGACAAGTCTGATGATACCTGATAACACTCATGCCGAGGTATTACACTTGAATTGGTTTTTTCCTGCATCCCCTTTCTCCTTCTTTTGTGTTCTATTGTTCACATAGTTCTTGTAGCATCTCCATAATTTTGCTTCTTTATGTAGTCAATTAGAGAGCAAAAATTCGGATGAGATGCTTTCAAATTTCTGTATCTCAAATCATAGTGTTCGTGGCCTACTTTGTTGTAACATCAAGATGTAAGCTTTTCCTTTTTGCCAAATGAAAATAGAAATCGCAGTACCTCTGATTTCATGATCATCAAAATGTATTATATATATTCATAAATTGCAATATCTCCCTAAGAACTATGAGGCCCAATTTCTTTCTTTCAGAGAGTTTAGACCCAATACTATTATGTGTTTGGATTATTTTCACAAAATGGGTCCAAAGGCCATGCTCATACCTTGCTACTTAATGCAAGATCTGCCCAATGTTTTTATGGGTTCACATATCCCTTGGTTTTCTCCAAATATGCACACTTACTTTGGTTGCCGGTGTTTGTGAAAGTATATATCGGAGAAAATAGAACCAAGATGAAGAAGAAAAAAAACAAAGATGAAATTTGAGGAACCTGAGAGCAAGACCCCAGTGAAGATTTTAGTCCAGTGTTGACTCTGTCACTGGTTTTTGCCCTACTTCTTCCATCTTTCAATGATAGATAGAGGAGAGAGTGAATGCAGGCTCAAAGTGGCAATTTAGGTGGTGGTTGAGGAATCTCTACGCTCCTCCCTATTCTACATAACATTAAAAGTTAGAGAGTGATTATTACTAGGTGGGCCAATCTAAACCATCCTTGTATTATCAAAGTTGCTTTTCATAGGAGTTTTGATTTGAGTCACTAGTAGTCTAGTTAATTTCTCAAATATGTTAAACTTTTGTCACATGTAACATGTCGTTTCCCCAACCTTTGTACTCACAATTTCAAATTTCAAGCCCTCAAGGAAGACAAAGAAACTTTTTAAAATTTATTTATTTTTTATAAATATTCATCTATACTTGTAACTCAAGTGATTAAGAGCGTTTTTTCTACACGTGACATGGCCTATATTTGAAGAACCCTAAAAAATTATCCTTTGAAGTCATCATCTCAAAATACCATTTCATGGATTATCATACAATGATTGAAACAGAGGTGCATGGAAGTAGCTCCCATCTCTGTGTTCTGCAAACAATCTTCAAACTTTGTAAAGTTTTGGTAATGACAGAAGCGGGTTTCAAAACACAAGCCATGTAGGCGCCACTGGGAGACAATCCATGAGTATATATGGACTGAAAAGATGATTTGGGTGTTTTTTTTTCTTTTGAGAAGTGGATAGCTAATTTATGGTATTTGAGAGTTGCAGGTTTTAGCTTGGAAGGGGGCCAATCATAAATCCATCAAAGCACCCACCTTTGAAAGGTTACCTTCCTCATCACACCCACCATTAATTCTTGAGTGGTCCAAAAAAAAACAAAACAATGTACCTGTGTCAGTGCATTGTGGTATTTAATTTTTTCCTATTCTGTGAGAAGTTAATGGTGTTCGAATTATTTTCATTTGGGTTTTGTTTCTTACTGGTGCTGTTTCTTCTTCTATTGCTTGCATGTGGGCGTGCGTGCTTGTGTTCTTTTGAACTTTTGAGTTTTCCATCTCAACCTATCTACTGGTCAAAGAACTAAAGATAAAGAGGGCCATGAGCCTTTTTTTCAGTTAGACAACCAATCCTAATGCCTGTGATGTAGTCCTATAAAAACCAAAGTTGTTTTGGCCACCTTAAATATTTAGGTGTGACAAGATGTTGTGATATTACACAGATCTCCAATCGAAAATTCACGAATTAAGGTTAAGAAATGGATTAAGTTAATGTTACGTATTTAAAAACACATGACGTTTAGAGAAATAAAGGAAAAAAAAGAATCAATTTACAAAAATTAATTTGATGTAATTTCGCAAAGAGAAATGCTAGCAACCTTCTCTCTAACCTTCTTTTTTGGACATTCTCCCTTTTTTGCTTAATATGTGTCATTCTCCTTACACTTAAAACAATGTCATTAATATATTATACAAGTTAACTTTTGCTTTCTAAGTTTACCCTTATTAAATGTATTCAATTTGTCCAAAAAAAATTCACAACTTTCTTACCATCTTATTAATTTTTTTCTAACGTCAATTATTTTTTTTAAAAAGAAAATATATGCTTTTAAGAGGAAATGTCCCTTTCTTTTTCTTTTTTTTTTTTAAACACAAAGGGTTTAGATGGGAAAAAAAAATTCCTTTGTGTTTTTAAAAAAACAAACATTTCTTCTTTTTTGAAAAAAGCATACATTTTCTTTTAAAAATTAATTGACGTTTCAAAAAAAATTAATAAGATGGTAAGAAAGTTGTGAAATTTTTTTGGATAAATTGGATACATTTAATAAGGGTAAACTTGGAAAGCAAAAGTTAACTTGTATAATATATTAATGACATTGTTTTAAGTGTAAGGAGAATGACACATGTCAAGCAAAAAAAAGAGAATATTCAAATGAGAAGATTAGAGAGAAGGTTGCTAGCATTCCCCTTTGGCAAATCCATCAAAAATAATAATGATTTTGTAAAGGTGGAATGTCACTCACTCTTATTATCATTACAATTATGAATGTGCATTATTATACACACATATTTTCTTTTTGTTTTCACTTCTTACCGTTTCTGTCTCACCTATACAAATCGATCTCTCAATTCTCAAGAAGTGTATATAAAGCAAAGCACAAGCAATTATAGAGTTGGGTCATTTTCTTTTTGGCTGTCTTTTCCTTATTTCCCCTTTTTCTCTTTTGGAGTTTTAGAGTGAATAAACCACTAGGATGGGACTCATTCCCGCTGCTCCATATGGTTGTCTGTTTTTGTCCAGAAATCTCGAAAATGATTCCTATTACAATTTCCAGGTAGCTACCCAACAATCACAGATTATAGAAACCAAAATTGACTGCAACAAAAATTAACAAAATCCCTTTGCTAATTAAGTACAAAACCAAGCACACAATTCAATCAGATTGTAAATTTTATCTCAAATTTTATGCATATGTCAAATGAAGTTTTCCTTTCGACCCACCAAAAAAAAAGAAGAAGTCAAATCGCTTTCGTCATTTGAACTAGACGGTACCTATCACTTTTCGAAAGATTTGTAACATCACAACCGATCATTAAGAATTTCTAGATAAATTCCTAAGCCCAAAGATGGTACAAATAATTGATGTGCTCAGTTTAATTTTGGGCAAAATAGGGCAAAATAGCCTAGGCTAGTTGAAAATCTTAGTATTATTTGAGATCATTATTTTGTATAATTGGGATGCAGAAATGGTCCCCATTTGCCTTCTTTTATGTGATGTATCTAATGGGTCCAGCTAAGCCCATTAAGTGTCCTTTTACTATTAGACCCACAATTTCAAGTGCAGTATGTGTAGCACTGCAGAGGCATGAATTTGTCACCCCCTCCCATCCTCCTAGTAGTTTACATGGATTTTGGAATTTGGGGTTCTACAGTTGTTCTTGAACTTTCCCGTATTTCTATAAGAACATCATGATTTACACTTCTTCACTATGAATGTGTGTGCTGAGTGAGTGGAAGAAATTTTAAAGGAGATCCTCAATCAGAAACCCCTGCACTAAAAGTTCCCCACCACCAGGCTTTAAAGATTGGTAGGGCAGTGTGCATATTCTCACTTGATCCTTTATTTGACTTCAAACTTTGTGCTTTTAAAGATTAGATATATATGTTTTGATTAAACTAATGGGAAGACCTTAAAAGTGGCAAAGGGCCTAACATTCTTCTGTTCTTCAACAAGATTTCATGGCAGTTTGCCTCCCCAACGTGAATGAATGGAGGGGTTTCAGCTGAGTCACTTTTCATCAAATCACAGGTGGCTTTTTCTTATTTAATTTTCACATGGAGGAAGAAGACAGGAGGATAATACTTCGTCATGTGCTTACAAACTGATCTGCAATGCACCATATCTCTGTAAAACTCTGCTCCCCATATGTATGTATATGTACAGGGAAATGCCACACAGAAGGCCACTGAAATTGAAGGGATTGTTGTAGAAAAGGGTGACTCTCAAAAAATAATGTCAACCAAGAAGAGAGCGTGGTAGTTTCAAAACGAAGCATTTTCATTTCACAGTGTTCAAATTGGTCAACTTTGTTTACTTTTGTTTGAAATGCTCTTTGGCTTCTGCCATAAATGTTCAAGATCTTGCAAGCTTGTCAAATCATTGCTGATGTTAGACAAAAGATGTTGGGTTATTAATGTCATGCAGATGACAAAAGCTAAGGTAATTCCATTTGCCTAACCAATCATGTATTTCATCAAACATAATACCGTTTATCTATTTAAAAGAAGATTAGTCATCGAGAAAATCCTAAATACTCTCTGAAAAAATCCTAAGAAAAAAAGTCTTAAATTAGCAGTCAGACAACATAACGTGCTAAATTTTTTATAAAAAGATAACACTTTTACGTATGATCAAAGGCTGAACTGAGACTGGGAGGTGAGATATCCGACCGTTGAACTTTTGTTTCATGTTTTAATATGAAGCTTGGTTCGTATACATGATGCTATATTTTAAAAATATAAACATTTTTGGAAGCCAAATTTTACTTTACTTGTAATAACTTTTTGTCCACGTTCATGGCACGTGGTATGTACAACCAGTACACCACAAAAAGACATCAGTAGGGTTGGATTGGAGTACTCGAATTGGAGACAGAACCTTTTGAATAATTATATACAATTACAGATATAGCCTCGGGTTCAATATTATTGAATTGATGATGATTGCTAGGGAATTAAGGCTGGTAATTATTGTGTAAATGATCAACAAAATCCATCACACAACAACGGATGATTTGATCCTTCAAAACTAAGCATGCATAATTAAACTAAAGGACAAAAAGCA